TATGAAGCAAACCCAGGAACGGACACATTAGGGATTTGCCCAAAGCGATTCACCACCCACACTACCCACCCCACAGTTCTGATGCACGCACAATTTCACCCCATCAGACTGTAGATTGGAGTGCTCAATTGGTGAAGGCCAAAATGCAATTGCGGCTGAGATCCATCTCCTCGATCCGATACAACAACCCGATGCAACTGGAAGGTGAGCAAGCAGAACTTCTCCTTAGGAATTTAGTGAAGTATTTGGTACAAAGCCCAATGTTTATAATTAAGAGAGAAGTAGGACGGCATAAGGCCTCATATTTCATCCCTTGGTAAAGCAAGGCTTGAGAAGGAGAAGGACACCGCCTCATACCTCTTCTTCATCCAGCGGACCACTGTCATTCTATCTTGACATGCAAAATAAGTTTAACAGTTCTTTTGATAGGTGCTTTAGAATAAAGTTGACTAGACCTGTTTCTCTGATTATATAAGCAAATGTTATGCAAAAGCAGGGATCTATTCTCTGTAGTGCTTTATCGGGTCATGTGCTATTTGGTATCAGTGAAACTCTCTTTACGCAATCTAATTTATAAAGGGAAGAACTCTGGACAGAAATGAACCAAGGGGATGCCTCACTGCCTTTGGAATTACATGTCTTTCTTTTTCATGAAAATTTAATGACTACATTTCCTGACCCGTGATAAGGCGTTTTGAAGCGCCGGCTCACTTGTGTTAACCTGAAGCGGAAGTTCCACGGACGGAGGTCAAAAGTAGAGGAGGGCTATCTAATTACGCATTATTTGTAACTGCACGGATTGCCCTTACACCTGACGATAGGGCTGGAAGATCGTGTTTGTAGCCTTGCAGTCCTTCCTTCCATTAAATAAAAGGACCTCGTTCACACTGGTATGGTGTATTGCGAATTGAAAAAAAGACTCGAGATGTTAAATTTGTGCACAAAATATGCGTTAAGATGTTGTACTATGCTTGTTTCGAGATTTCGTCAAAGTCACCACAATCTAGGAATGGTAGATTGAGATTTCAAGACTTTATTTTGATATAAAATTTAACAAAAAATTAAATGTTTACCCCACTATACACTACCTTACCACATAGTTTGGAGGTTATTCGAGTAAATTTTATAAGACATTTTGAGGATTCAGTTTTGTAAATTAAATAAATTATTCACTCTTTGAGCTGTCACCTCACGAGTCACCAATTTCAACATAAAGGGACCTGATCTACTTTCCCATGCAGGACTAATGAATTTATGCCCAAGTGAAATCGTCTTATAAAATATTTCTACAGCCAATCCCTTCCTTTTAAGTCCCGAATCCATAAGTTTGGATAATAATTTTACTGAATTTTAGAATTCCCCACATGGGTAGCAGTTGTTTGATGCCTTCTACAATTAAATTGAAAGTTAAACAAGGCCTGTCGACTTTGTTGCTTTCCCTGGCAAAGTTAATTCACCGCCTTACATGCAATTTATCATTGGTAACACATTTTAGCCTGTTAATTGAAAATACTGCCATAAAAATTGTTAATTTTGTTAACTGGCGGCATTCTACACTTTTAAAATGCACCATTGAATTTAAATAAAAATATGCCCAGACTTTAAGGCTTACCTTGTAGCATAAAATGACTTTAAACAAGGACAATTTTAGCCAAATTCGAGTGACAAGATAGCATTACACTATATTAGGAAGGAAGAAGATTTATTAATAATGTATGAAAATGACACGTGTAGAGGATGGAAGAGCCCCAGTGGCTGGGCAAATTCTTGCGAGATCTAAACCTGGTAGTCTAACAGAAGTGAAAATAACATCGATGAATTGGAGTTTCTGGGCAAATACCACTTCCTAATGCTAAATCTTTTTGGAAGTGTAGTAGAGATTTTCTGAATATCACATCCTCTGCAAGGCAAACTATTTAAAAAATAATTCATTTTCAGTTACTTTCACAAAAAACACATTCTATATGCTAATTGCATTTTGCCGTAATAGTTGATTGAAGGCAACATAAGGAGGGATAATCCCACTTTTTCAGACTGTGGTATGAACCGATGTTTGGAAGGAGGAAGGTAAGATATTCTTCAAAGTCAATTGCCATTTGTTAGAATTTGATGGCACTCTATTAGCTGTTCCGTTATTTATTATCCAAAATTAAGAATTTGTTAAAAGTCTACATCATTTTAGCCCTTTTTGGTGAGTGTTCATGCAATTCAGATGTAGCTCTGGACTGAATTCGCCTACAGCTGACACCAAAGTAGCATTTCGGTTCTTTTCCGAAACCGTATTATAATAGGAAGCTCGTTATTTGCACTCAAGAGGACTGCGTGGCCATGGACATGACCAACTACCTGTACTATTAAGCTGTGAGTAAAGAACCTGTGTAATTAAATGTGCAATAAAACACTGCGTAAAATCCCCTGCTGCCAAAAATTTAAAATGATTGGAATGATATTGTTTGCCTCTTTTACACCCCATGATGCAATGTCAACTACTTATCACCACTAATTAGAATGAGGGCTAAAAAGAAGAATGCAAGTGTATACCTGAGAGGTAGCAGGCATTCCAATGGTTTTCCTCAGCCCATCATCATTGGTCATTTAGACTTACAGAAATTTGACATTTATTTTTCAAGTTCCCTTACAGCCAGGTTAGTGAAAGTATCTTTAAAAAATTATAGGCGGATCCAAGCGGTGATCTCACTGGATTCATCAATTTTTCACCAACTACTCTATGTTAACCTATTCCTTTTTTCTGCAAAATGCTTCCAGTAAAATAGTTATTCCAAAACAATACTTCATTTTGTTGCGTTTTCTAGTGGAAAGGATGCTCTCCTCGACACAGTCAGCATAAGGGATTTACTTATTTTTTTTTGTAAAAAAACAGAGGCAATAGAATATGTTAATGAGTACAGATTTCTCTCATCCTCTCCTCTGTCCCTCTCTCCTCTCCTCCCCACATTCTTCTCTTTCGCGTGAAATAAGTAACTTTTCAAAATCTTACTACTACGGCATTAAGTGGTTTATAGTGTGCAGTTGTTGACAGTCTTAGAAGTAAATGGACCTAGTTTATTCCTCCTCTGACCGGAAAAAGGAGTACCTGCAACCATCTAAGTTCCCTCTGTCGAATTCTTGAGCTCATAAAACTCAGTTTATCATCTCATGCATTTGACATTAGTCTTTATGCAAGAATTTTTATAATTTCTGTTGATTTTCAAAGTAGGAAACATCTGACCTTCTACTTTGCCAAATAAACAGGAGTTTGGAGGAAATTTGACAAGTAGAAATAATGGTAGAATCAAGTTGTTTTGGTTGTCTAGCCTCTTCTTAAAATATATCCAATTTAACCCACAATTTTGTATTGCGAGGAAGAGTGGTTGGCACAAGACATTGCAGATGATTTGATCACGATATCATGCAAAAGGTGCAGCATTTCATGTAAACTCGGAACATTTTCTCGGTCGTGAAAGTGCTCCAGTCCGCGCGCTTACTATCGAAGAGGAAGGTTCCAACAAACGTGCATTACAGGTGGCATCAGAGTTGCGTCTACAAAAGTCTTAATTAAATAGCTTTCTTTCACTCTCAAATTCTTTTAAACAAAATCTCGAAAACTACTTTCTGAAGGCTGTAACTGAAGTTCTTCCTTTTACTTCTTTTATTATAAATAAGCGTATTACACAAGTAATGATACCTTAAGTCTTTAGGCCCAAAAATAATAGAAAAATATAGCTATTTGGGATTCCTTTGCACTTATGCGTGGGTCATACTTTAGTTCTCTTAGCTGATTGCCGAATTGAGGCAGGCTCTTTTTTTGTGACACCTCTTTCGGTTTCATGCCCTTGGTTTATTTATTTATTTATTCACTTTCATGCATAACCTTTCGTCGAACTAGTGGATAATCGGAAGCGTGGGTCTCCTCATCAAGTCGTGCTTGGATTTTGTGTAGAAAAATAGCTACTTGCTTCATGTCCAGTAACCATGTAGTACTAGGTAAATAATTCAAGGAAGAGAACAAATTCCAAGCGTTGCCACACTTCTAATTTAAACTAGTGCTTTCACATGTGCTACTTAGTATTTATTAGCGGAAATCATATCCCTGGGTTTACTGGGACATAACAAAGCCTTCCTCAGGGCATCATCACGTGAATGAGAAATCCACCAACAGAAATTTGCTTTGACTGCTCTGATTGCCCGAACCGAGAGTGGTGCAAAACTTTTTTGAACGCAGTCATTTGTCTTGCCTTTTTTTCAATTACTTTGACCAATAAATGGCAAAAGTGTGATCTCCTGTACCCTCGTAGGAGGGACTAAAAAGATTTTTGATTATCGGGCTAGACAGACCAGGAGACGTCATCCAGACGAGACCATACACGAGGTCACAGGCAGGAGTAAGCTTCCGTTTGACAATTGGGCAAATGTCGAGGGCTTTTCAAAGGGCACAAAATCGAAGTCTCAGTTCCAAATGGATACCAGATTTTCCCTTTGAAATGAGTGCGAAATTCGCATCATTTGTTTTTCAGGCTTTGCACTAGGAGTATTTACTTCAGTGAGCTCGATTTCAGTCCACCTTTTGAGCACTAACATTTGTGGTTTTGCATTAAAATACTGGTTTATATGCGAGTGAAGGAGTTTAAACCGAATTTCCGTGAAACGTGCTTTATCGGTATGTTGGAGAATGGAAAAATATATATATACATTTTACGTTATTAAAAAGCTGCCTTCAAGGTGTTCACACTTTCAAATATCTCACTTTCATTTTTTGCCATCTTTTAGCCTCGGTCACTCTTTGGATGGTAATGTCTCATCTAAAAAATATTTTTGTCATTTTGAGGAAGTTTCACCCCCTTGTACATTTGTATCCTCCACCATAATGCCTGTGTTCCAAATACGACTGATTTGGTTATAATGCACTGCGTCTGCATTTTCTTCGATTAAGTTTCGTTAAGTAGGGCCCAGTATATTACGGATTCACTTATTTGTCTATTTGGAATCTTAGTTACATACCTATGGAGAACGCTGAAGAACATCATTGCATCACAGGTACGTAGCATGAGTAACCACCACGGGAAGTGTACACCCTAGTAGCATTTGCGCAAAAACAAATCAGACAACTCACATACCTTCTTTTTCTCGTCCAACGAACGTTTCGTACTGGGTCATAAGTGATGCATTTCTTTTTTAATAGCAAAAACCTTGAGTAAATATCCTACATTTGTTAAGTACTTCTATGAAAACCAAAAAAAAGTAATTCCTTGTGAAATAGCCTGACGAAATAACCAAAAGTAGTTGACTATCTAAAGAAATCATTTAGTTAATAATAATGGTAACTAACCTCTACAGAGGTTCTGTGCAAAAAATATTCTTATAAACAGTAAATGTTTATTGTCACAGCTCTTTCCCACAAAATGTAACAATAATCATAGCTACAACTCCAGTCCGGTGCAATGAAATCATAACTGCGAGAATCTGTACCATTTTTTCACAAGCCTCCCATCGTTTCCCTACAAATGCGGGCCAATTAAGACGTGCGTGTGCGCTTGGATGCGTGCGTGGAATTGGGCCAATGGCAGGGCAACTGGAAATGCGTACGTGCAACCTGATCTGAGACGGCGCGTGTGGGGTCGTGGCACATCCGCTCAGACTGCCTACCCGACCTCCTCCAGCCGACAAAAGCGCGCGCACTAGTTCACGAGTCCAAATTGGGGCTCCTCCTTGCTTCACATCTGGACCTTGGATATCTTTGACGCAAGTGAGCGGTTATTGTTCCGTCGCTGCATCATTCTTGCAATTCGTGTCTTCCATTGATAGCACTTACTAAAAAAATATTTACAAGCATTTGGGATCCCCAATATAACTACTTGTAATTTTGCCAATGAAGAAACGCCTATTTTCATTTCCTCCTTGAAAGTGAATACCGATTCAAGTTCAAGTAAAAGCGTCCATCACTCTAAAAAGATACAACTTACAGATACCTTATGTTGCTTTGCAGTGTTCAACATGTAGGAAATGTAGGCTTTGGCTTGTGTATCACATGTGCAAGTTTAGTCTATTCATGTGAATGACAGATTCTGTCTTACAAAGCTTTTTTATGGCAAAACGGGCAAAACGGTGGATGTACCACCGCAGCCCATTTAACTTGCAAAAGACAAAAGCCTTGTATGCATCAGTTTATTTATGGGCGCGCTGGCTACGGCGAATGAATGGCTACTGGGGTTCTAGAGGATCAGTAAACGTTCTCTATTACGAAGATTCATTTGTGACTATCAAACCCTGCCTAATATGAGTGTTGTCGGGATCTTCTTGATTCGTGGCTAGTTTACTCGTTTCATGCTATCATCAAAGAAAGTAGAAAGCTTGTCTGCTTTTAGATAAATTGGGTTAGAGGCATTTTTTCTTCGCTCTTTTACACTTTTGTAAATATTTATGAGAATCCATTTTATAAGCAAGTGTGAACCAGCTCCCGTCTCTCAGCTTTCTCTCTTTGCTACACTAAAAACTCCATTGTCTTCCGCCATCTCGTGGGAGGGGCTATTTTTGTGGCTTGTGGCCATACCTTTTTTAACCCGTTCCTCTTTAACGATAACAACAACAGAAGAAAATAACATTTGAAAATAATGGAATGATCTTTTTCAAGCACTGCGTATGATACTTGCCTTTGCCTTCAACAATTTGTGTTCACCTATGATTTCATTTTATCCACATTCATTTTTGATTGGCATGTCTCCATTAAGGAGACTCCAGCAGAGTTATGTGACGCTGTCATTTGATCTGGAAAGGCATTCACCTTCTTAAGAAGAAATAACAATAATGCTGGGAGAAGTTGTCTCATTAAGTTGGTTGTTACAGTTTATAGGCTTCACTGAAGTCAGCATTTTCGTCTGGACTAAGTTTACCGGATAAACAAAATATTATGCGTTTTTACTCTCGGTTCTTGATGTTTGTAAAAAGAGAACTCATATCATAGCCTCCATACAACGGCTATTATTCAGGAAAGTTTGTCATGCAGAGAGTTTTCAAGGCCTTTACTCTGTCAATCCAAGTTCACTTTTCGTGAGGCATCAGCTCAACTGTAATATACTATTTTTGTTTCTTTTCTTTCTTCTCTCCATCTTTATTTCCTCTTGACTCAGTGTAAATAAAAAAAGGATTTACGGAGTAGATGTTTTTATACTTTTTGACATCATCGTGCTTCACTTAATTTCAGTGTACTCACCTCCTGCCCCACCATTCCTCGGTTGTGCCATATCTTCCCACGGAAAATCAAACTTGTACGACCTCAAGACTCATACGTTTCCTCCCCTCTTCCCCTCTATTTTTGTATAAATAGGTCGGAAAGTCCAAATTTAAAACATTTTAGGCGAAATTACCACAACACTCTATTGGCCAATTAAATTTACTCTGGTAATGTATTCTAGCTCATACTTTTTGCGTATTTATGTTAGTTTTTAATTACCTGTAAAATCTGTCAACTTTGGATGACCTCTGTGACACGAAACTTGGTATGTGGGTGGTCGTTTCTGAATGTGTCTGTGACACCTATGCCACAGTGGATGTTAAACATTAAGTTACTCTGACCTTACAAAATTTACAGGATTTACTACTACCGTGTGCACATCTTCCATCAATTGATCATTCCTGTTATGAAGTACACACATTCTCAATTCTGTATGTCTCAACGCAGATTCCAACCGTTCTATTTTATTTCCCGTCTTTTATAAATGACTATCCCTAAGTATTTTGAAATTGAAGTTGTTTGAGCCAGCAGTCTAAACCACTCTCAATCGCCAGGTTGACTATCTATCCACCTCGCCTCGAGTAGATTAAATAAGCAGGGCTTTTTTGACTTCCTGGGGTGAAGTCGTTTCCTCCACTTCCTAAATTTGTAGAGAAATAGCCACTTTATTGTGTGTGTGTATGCAATCACATCAATGCTTACCGCCTGCCACCCAGGTGGACTAATTTAAGTCAAGTAGGTCTTTTACTAGCTTAGCTAGAAAGGTCTCTATTATGCATCATGTGGGTAGATTTCGTGTCCTACGGTAGTGTCTAATGCGCTGTGGCAAGATTTTGTCCCGCTAACAGTTTGTGCGATCTCCCACATTTTTAACGCTGACAAGACGTAGCCCCTTGTGTAAATCTACAACAATCTACTTTTATTTAATCCAAATGACTTTTATTGGATCACGATTTATAATTGTAGGTTTTTCGACAAAAAACCCACCGTTTTTACTAGTTTTACCAACCAACGAGTCTTTTTCTGAGTAAATTGAAGCTAGAAAACTTGGGAAATCGTCAAAAGCCTAATCCATACCAATATGTAAGCGCTAGATTTGATTGAATATGATAGATTCTGTCTACTAGAGTAAATAACAATAAACCCAACTCTCTTTTTTTAGATCATTACAGTTTCAAGTCATGGTACCATGAATTCGAAGGTGCGAATTCGATGTACTTTCTTACTTATTCTCTGGTCACTTCACGTCACCTTTGCCTGCAAATATCTGCAATTATTTCAAATTTTGGAGACAAATGCACTGCAGAAATCCAACTTGCCCTCTTATGTTCCATCACAAGCTGGAATTGCTCAAGACGTTTCGATTAATCTAACTAAACTCTTCCAAACCGAACTGTCCATCTTAGGAGATGAGGCTCGACAAATTGCCATCTTTTTTACCGATGCGACGGAAAGTCGTCCTTTTACTATCAAACAACTTAGAGACGGTTCGCGTATACTGACCAACGAGCTACCCGTTGATCGGGAGGAAATTTGCAATCCATTCAAGTTTCCCCATCATACTGCCGTGTCTCGTAAGTGTTGTGCAAAAGGGGATAGTGATGATGGATACAAGGAGAATCCGTTCAAATCTCAACTTGATTTCCCGTGCTGTGTCTTCTTGGGTATCACAGTTGAAAGTTATGGGACTTTTGCCCTTCGCATTGACGTAATCGATGTGAACGACAACCCTCCTCGATTCAACCTACTGCCAGAGTTTACTCTGAGTCGTGCTGGTAATGATTTTCCAGGAGTAATTACGATAATGGAGAATACAGCACAAGGAACTATTATTTCCCTTCCACAGGCATTCGATCTAGACGAAGGCAAGAATGCTGACTTGCTGTTCCATGTAGAGAAGAATAGCCCACTGGAAGCTTGGGAACAACATTTTAAGTTACTGTCCGGACCAGACGATCGTTGCATCACAAATTCACTTACTGAGTCACCACAAAGGGATGGGACATTTCCAGCTCTGTGTCTTCTTGGAACAATTGACAGAGAAACTGTCAGTGGCTTTACCTTTGATTTAATCGCAAGAGATCAAGGCGAACCCATGGCTTTAACAACCACTCTCTCAATGTCAATTGTTGTGAGTGTTTTTACTCTATCTGCAAACACGACTCATTAATTATCTTTTTTTGTACATTATGGACAGCTGGAATTAGTAGCTGGTGTTTTTTAGATCGCCAAACCTTCATCTTTATCTAGTTCAGTGTACTGGATAATTAAGTCCAATGCGAAGCTCCACCTTCAGATAATGCAGTTTGATGTTCAAGATCCTACAGCAAGTGATTCAAAGCCAAAAAGATGTTGAGTTCAAGTCCAACTTTTTGATTAGGTGATAAGACTGATAGGTAGAAGCGATTCCCTATCAAGAATTGTCAATTACTTTGACATAATCCCTTGAAATTTATATACGCGACTCAGTTATTTGTTCTGATCTCGACTACCGTATTATTAAAAGAAATTGAATTAGGACTTTTGCCTGTGAGAAAGAATTCGTTTATGTAATTGAATAATCTCCTCTGGAGTAGTGATTTTTAAGGCCTGAGGTTGATGTCGGACTACTTGAAAGAAGAGACGTATCTGCCTGGTTAAAAGGAGAGTATCCATCCCTGGGTAAAAGTCACGAACTGTTGGACACACACACGCATACCAGACTCGCCTTAAAGGTATTTTGTCAGGAAAGGGTTATTTCACACCTAGAACTTGTTAGAGGCTCTCGCCTTCCAACAGACTTTCTTTAAACTCTGCTATTTTTAGGACGGTGCCCTAATATCATGAAGGCATAAAAACTCTTGTGAATATATATTTCCCAGGTAATAGTCGTAAAAGGTGTTGTCTAATGGCTAGCAATGCCCATTCAAAGCTTTAGCCCACTCTGTCTCCTTGGGGTTTTGACAGCTGTCAAGCCCAGTTGATGGCTTTATTTACGGCTTATCATTCGGGTTACACAGCCTTCTGTTTATAAAATGTAACCTTTTCTTAGACTTTTAAACCATCTCGTTTAAGTAGGATTACTGGGTATTTTTCATGGCAAAGGCAGGACTTTTTTCTACGCAAATTCTAAATCACGCACTATTTGTCAAAATTTATGCTGATTTAGCAATAGTAAAATCCCAATTTTAGTCGTTAAAACAGAATAAACCTCGAAAATTTCCATTTTTAATGCGTCACCTTCCTCCGGATACGCCCATCACTGTTTCTCGATTACTAATAACAGGAGTTAATATCTCCTTCACTCTTCCTCACGTCGAAACCTTTTCATTCTCCTCTTTTTTTCCATGCTATCATAACATTCCAACCCTACCCACTTAATGTTAAAGTAAACCGGTCATTTTAATGAGTCCTCAAAAAAAGGAAATTTGACAGATTTTTACACTAGAGATGGTTTCAACCTAACCTTTATATTAGAACTGCTTTTGTGATTTTGAGATGTGGTAATATATCTTCCAAATTAGTGTCTCTAATGTGAATAAATTATGGCAATATCCTTTGAAGTTTATGTCTCCCACGTTTTATTAAAGACAGGTAGTTCGTATCGGTGCTTTGTCTCTTCCCCTTTTTTACGAGCGAAAAACGGGACTCCCACTTTACCGCCTTGCCTTAAAGACGTAAGGTAAATCGAGGAGAAACAGAAAGTAGTTCCTGTAGGCAAAAGCAAAAATAACAGAAAGAGAAAATGCTAACTGACGACTTTTGCAGTCTTTTCTTCTTAAAGATGAGTAGATTAAACTAACTAGGACTCTTTCATACCTAAAAATCGACAAGAAGGCAAGAATTATTAAAGGAAGTATCAAGTCTGCTATTTCCGCTTCACAAATATGATATATGACAATTTGTTTAGATTTCCATTATTTGGTGGAATTAGAGGCGCTGTTAGGTCAGCACGCAAGCATGCCTAATCACTGGGTCGCTTGAGATTGGCAATTCTTTATCTACTTTCCCGACACGTCACTCAGACAATCCTGTTTTTTACCGGAAGAAATGCACTTCAAAATAAATGTCTCGTTGTTAAAGGGTAAAGTAGAATATTATAAGTCAAGTGGTTCCTCTTTGTTATGGTGGGAAAAAAAACATTCTTTGCCGTCATTGCTTGAGCTTTCTCTGAGCCAAGGCGACGCCTTGACAAACATTGTATGAAAATTTTGTTGAGATGTAGGATATTTGAAATATTGATGTATTTTTTTAGCCCGGTTCCTAGCTTTAATATATGCTTGTGTTAGATCTTGCCATTGTTGCAAATGACTGTCAGGAAATCAAACAAAACCATTCCACTGTTGTCATTAATGGAATTCTCAAGGATAATTTAGAGGTTGGTAATATTTCCAACAAAGTTATGGAATTCTTTCCTTCCCTTTTAACTATTCCAGTCATTTACCCATATTTTCGCCATTTCCATTAGGTTTTGGATGAAAATGACAACGCACCGACTTTTAAGCAGAGTGAATTCAAAGTTTTTGTGAAGGAGAATGAAGTTGGCAAGACTTTGGTCCATCTACGCGTCACCGACTTAGATTCGGGTGAGAACTCGCGTCTGAGTTACTCTCTACGACCTGGCGGTCATTTTGCGACAAATCAGAAGCCCCCCAATGAGTTCCTTCTAATGCATGTCCTCGCCTCTCCAGCTCCAGATGGCGTTGTCCTTCGACTTATACAACCCCTGGACTACGAGGCTGTCAGCTCTTTTGACTTTGAGGTGGTGGTTCAGGACCATGGAACACCACGGTTAGCTTCCACTGCTACGGTTTCTGTGGAAGTTCTCAATACCAATGATCAGCCACCAGTTATTCGATTTTTTAACAAGGGTAATTTACTCAACTTTGACTATGCCAGTCTTGAACGGGAAGAAGATACGGACGACCAGTCGCCTAAGGTCATTTGCCACGTTCATGTCCACGATCAGGATACTAGTTTGGATGAGGTTTTTTGTGAAATTAGCTCGCCTCAACGACTGTTTGATCTGCGTGAAGTAAGGAGTGAGAATACAATACAACGAAGGAAGGTTTACGAGATGATAAGTTTGGCTCAGTTGGATAGGGAAAGGGCGCCCAGCTACTTAGTTAATGTTCGTTGTGTTGACGGACGAACAGCCACACGATTAATTGGACAAAGTCAAGTACGTATCATCCTTAAGGATGCAAATGATAATCCACCATTGTTTGAAAAAGATCAATTCTTTGGAACGGTGGGAGAGAATGAGGCGAATGCTCTGGTAGATTTCAGGGACTCATTTATCAATTATGGCCAATCTTCTACGCAATATGTGAGTACATCCCACATTCATGCAACTGATGCAGACGTCGGACCGAACGCTGCAATAAACTATTCACTTGCTCCTTGGAATCGTGAAGGAGATACTAATTCGACAATATCAAAAAAGGAGGATTACGAGTTCTTTCATATTGACAGAATCACTGGACAATTAAAAACACGTGTACCATTGGATTTTGAAGCGAAATCATCGTACTACCTACTAGTGGTTGCTACTGATCAACCTCTGAACGCCTCACAGGCTCTTTCCTCCACAGCAAAGCTGATAATTACGGTAATTTACTTTTCATTTTGCCTTTCTATCTATTTTGGATGGCCGGATAGTGGGTATTACAATTATCATTACTTCTAGGCAAAAAAATCACTTTTTCGGTGTATTAGTTTGTTTACTTGTTTATTTTTCTGGCTCTCAGATTATGAGAACTCATAACATCATACTTTGTTATTCCTAACTTATGGACAGTCGAAGCTGACAGGTTGTTAAATGGGAAACAAGAGTGAGAGAGTTGGTGGATTTATATCCCTCAAACACAACGCTTTAATTATTTATGTGTGAAAATTCGTCACATTGAGGTTCTATCAGATTCTCTCATTAACCTTTTTCTCATTTTTAGTTTTGATTAGTGCATCGACCCCTTTTTATGTTAAAAATGGGGGCTTATCCTCTTTGTCTAATTGGAAATCCACGTATGGCTTTTATCAAAATCTCACTTCACGTCATTTATAGCCTTTTCAGTATGCTTGATGTGCTTATGCGGTAAAAAAGATGCTCAGTGAAGAGAAATGGATATTAGTGTAGCAAATTTAGGAATTTATACGATGTACAAATTAATAAGCGTGCAGTATTGAAGCTTTTTGTGTTTCAAATAGACCACTTTGTTAAGAACTACGGGAATTAAGTGAAACTCACCCCACTTTTATCTCCTTGGGATTTCTGTCAAGGTAGTGTTGGCAAACAGACCCCAACTGGGAGTCATTTACCAATTACATTAGGTTAAAATAAGGAATAAGTTTATTGCCTAGTCACCTGTTTGAAAATGAGTCGTATTAGTTTTTACGGCTCCAAATGCTAATGATTGCTGGGTTGAGATACAAAAAGGCTGCTATAAGAGAGAAAGACGTTAGTTTACTAAATGAGCCAAAAATCTGTTCTCCTTTGCAAAGAAATAATAAAATAAAGTAAGAGTCCTTCCAGTCTAAATTAGGAATTTTAGCTCCAGGTCAACTAGCACTCGGAATAAATACACTATCTTTTTGCCTATTATCTACTGATTTCATGGTTGTGGTTGTTTTGATACCTTGGCACAGCTTCTACCCTTTTTCACATTTGTTATGGGACAGCATGCATCCTTGTACTGACATCACCCCTTTGAATGATAAGCAGTGTCTTTAAAACACCCAAAGCTTCTCCCTATGACAGGTGAAAGCACCTATAATCATCAAGTACCTCCCTTTGCATCACATTCTTCATGTTTTACTTTTTAAAATTAAAAAGAGGGAATTCCTAAGCCTAAATTCAGGAGATTTAGCGTTTGACCTAATTATGTATACCAATTGATCATCTTTACGGAAATGGGCGTGTTTGCATATCATAGAAACTAGAGGTTTATTTTCCCCTTTCGTATTAGCCGTTTTTATCAAACCACGGAAGCATGGTCTGACCGATACAAGGGACCATTAATGCCCTCTTTCAACCTGTCATGGCAACACTAGATTTGTGTACTGACTCATTAATGCCCAATCTATTACTATTGTCCTCCATATTTTAAAGTGTGATTTTTCTCCAAAAGGCAGTTATAGCTTTAACAAAGACGTTGACAAGACTTATAAACGCAAATCCCCATTTGATTATAATTTGTGTATGCCCTTCAAATTACCTTTTCCATTCTATAAAACGCTCCTATAGGTAATCTTACCAACCGTCCAAAAAGTAAAATCCTTTCCACTCTTTTTCTTTGTACTTTAAGTGAATTTCTTCTTTCTTTTATGTGATCAAACTATATTAAGGTGATTCACTCCTCTTACAAAATACACGCAGTCATTCAGTTAGTACTCCAAAATTGTGTTCATAAAGAAAAATTTTTGTTATAAAAAACCCTCTTTACTCCAGCTAGCCTTACTGTTTTTAAAATTTGCAAAAATGTGCGGAAGTTTTAAATGCTTCTCGTATCAATTTCCGTGTTTCGTGATCTCAATTTTCAGTAAATTAGTGTGAGCACGGATGTTGTCAAGACCTCAACCTGAGCAAATGAGACATAAGAACGTCTGTATGGAAACCTTTTATGCCGAGCAAGTGCCCACTCCATTCACTGATGCAGTTCTTTCAAGTGGTAAATCTTCTCATACCATTTTGGATGGCCTTCACCTTGCAATGATCAATAAGGAGAGTACCTGATGACAGGGCAAAAGGGAAGTGCTCTGGAATGTTTGAGAATTGGTCATGAAAAGAGGAAATTCGAGTTACCAACAGAAACCTGTAGAGCTGTAGTTATCCTCATCAGAGACACTATTAAAATGGAATTAAATAACTTCATATGCATTGTCATCAATCCGGGTACTAGATTTGTCCATTATACTAACTGCTTGGCATGCGTTTAGAAGATGTTTGACTTTTTGAAAGCAAAGTCTCAAAGTAGAGGTACTAATCTGGGGATTGTAGGGTGTGCATTATAAATTCATGTTTAACGCCAAGCAGTCATTACCTCTGGGAGCTACACATTTCCTCGACTTGGTCGAGTGACTTCGTCCTTCGTGCCAGAAGATGGCGCTTATTGAAACGTGGAGACGGTAAGCCCAAAGCAAGAGCAGCGTGGAATGCCGCACTTCCAACTCTCGGCAGATAGCTAAATGCTCCGATTTCTATCACCCGAAAAATACCCTTTGACTCTCATCATCATTCATTGTTTAATTTTTTCCCCAATGGGTGTTTTTTGTTAGTAAGCCCCTTTCCATATGAGTACGGGAAGTTATCAAAAAATAGAGCAATTTTCTGTTTAATTTCTCGTGGCGGTATGAAGTTGCGATGACTTTTAGTTGTTTTAATCATTCAAAAACCAATTACTTCCACTCCTTTTGCGGTTGTTACCTTTACTTAATACTTCGTTCCACTTTCCTTATAGAGGCTGCTTTTTTTTATTCCCACTACCTCAATTTGCGTGATTACGCGCCTTCCATGTTCTACCCTAACAATGTCACAAACTTGTTTAAGTCAATGCGATTACCGATTAAGTTATTATGGAATGCAATGGAAAGTAGTTCCCACTAATTTTATCGTAAAAGTGACGTCCGCAGTAGTAGTAGTAGTAGTAAAACTTGAACTCGGGAAAGGCAAAAACGTTGCTAAAACTGGCCACATTTTGCTCTGCGATTCACTCCATATAGTAAACATCAGGTGCCTAGCCGCTGTCATCTAGTGGTGACTGGAGGTAAAACGGAAAACAGATGATGTCGAATAGATTTGTGCCCCGCGATTTAGAGTTTCACGAATCTGAATGCAAATGTCGAATTAAACCACAACTTCACCAGGACATCCATGAAAAGTTATTTGAAAGTTGTACAAGCCCCTTTTGAAGTAAGAAAAACAAATTCAACTTGATAAACGCTTGAGCTACTCTTTTTGTAAAATCAAATGTGCATCACTTGTGGACCATTTTTAGTTTATCCGATGTATACTTAACAGGTAAAAGACTTGGATGACAACCCACCCACAATGCTGCACCAAAATTACTCCTTTGAGGTGACAGAAAGCATGCCAAGTCACACTATCGTCGGTCGAGTTGAAGCCACTGATGCTGACAGTCTGCCCGAGAATCGTATCATCAGCTATCAACTGCGGACACCCACCGTGCCTCTGCCAGGTGATGACAGTGCTGTCTCCTCTGCAGCTGCTAGTGCCACAACTTCGACTGCTTCTACTACTGCTGCCCTTCACTTCTTCACTATTGACAGGCTAGTTCGGCTTATTCTACTTGATTTACTGCCTGATTGTATGCACTGCCTTCTTTCCTTTTTTCAAGTCAGTGGTTTAAATCAGTTGGGGTTGTCACGTGGAAAAAAATGCGCCAATAGGTCCATCACTTCATCCTTCATTTTGCTTTCTTCTGATAATCTAACTATAAAAAGCAAAAAATAGGTCTGTTGTGCGTACATCTACACTTTTCAAGCAATTATTTAAAAGTTTAATACATTAACTTTGGGCGATTTGTGCACGCTCTGATATTATCTAAGTAGGTGATTGCTGAACTTCCTGATGTTTGCATGATCCACGGTTTCTAGCTTTTCTCAAGTCATAGAGGTAAGCTCCCGTTTTATTACTCATTTGCTTTTAAAAAGGATCCCGTACCTCAAATTTCTTCTCTGTCAAGTGTCCTCTTGTTCTTGTCACAAATAAGTGGAAATTAATCCTACATCTATTTTTGGCCGTAATCTTCCGTATCCTCATTGCCAATTGGATTATTCACAACCACTGGGCAAAAGCTGAAGAATGGGTAGCCCTAAAACTATAAAACACTATTTTTCAGGCATTCTGGCGTTATTCGCACGAAACGTCCACTGGATCGTGAACAAACACCAAAGGTGACGCTGGAAGTTGTTGCTTACTCGGGATCCCCTGGACGGTTTCGAACTAATAATATCAACCCATCGTCTTCCACAGCAACTGTTGTTATCACCATCCTGGATAAAAATGACAACGCGCCCTATATGGTTTCACTGGCTTCACCAGATAAAAAAAGAGTCCCCCTTGCTGAGGTGATTATTCCTTCGGACAAACTTCAAGGTAGACCGCCCATTTGCGTTCCCTTTCCTTATGCATTCACCGATGATGACGAAGAGTTCAGCGGTAATGGAAATGCCACTGTAAGTCTGGACAGCAATCCAAACTTTGAACTCAGTGAGGACCGAAGCAGACTATGCCTTAAGGTGGATAATAGGAAGGGTAAGAAGAAATCTATAACACCTCCACCCCCCGGTCAGTATTCGTTGAATCTGCTGGCTCAGGACAACCCCAAGGAGATCATCCACCGACTAACGAAGCGATTTCCCCTACGTGTGATTATTCAAAGCCCTCTGCAGGATTTCACTACATCACTGGGTACACCGAGGCACCAAGAGTCGGTATCATTATTTAAGTCGTCACGAATGGTGGAGGAACCTGTGAAGCGACAGCCAGGGAAGTCAACTGCAGCAGGTCGCATCCTTGGTACAATTCAACGACCATCTTCTACAACATCCAACCGAGGTGTAGGCAGTAGTTGGGAGCACAGAAATGTTACAGTTATTGCCGTTTTAGTGTGTATGGCTTGCATCCTCTGCGTTATCCTCTTGGCTATTCTTCTCTTCATGAAGAAGTGTACACATATGAAAAATTTCATCGTCAAAGGTAAGCACCATTGCTTTAGCTACTAGTGATCCGTATCATATCAACGAGTGTTGTTTTTCTTACAACAATGTGTCACATTGGAAGTGAATTATTTGACGATTGATCAGATTTGTTACGATTAACAGGTCTTTTCATGATCATACTTCTGATAATATGGTTAACTTAATGCTTCTATTAACAAGTGTTCCTCTCGGCTTCTTTATCACTATTGCATATTAGACTGAGGATACCAATTACTCAATACAAAGTTTGGGTCTTAAAACAGATATAAACTTTTGAGTAAACTGACAGAAGAGTAAATATTTTCACCCAAACTTTTATGTATCTTAAATGGTGTTGACTCCATGCAAAGTAGTCTTTTCCTTTAACCTAGTCATCTATAAACTGCACAAAAAGGCTGAGTTCCGTTTCTTTATAATTTGCAGCTTTAATATATATTTTCGTTTGAAACAAAAACTGATATAGTGTCGTACATTATTGCCAGAAGGTACTAGGGATGTCTGAAACCTCAGAGGTTGTGAATGTGCGATTGGTCCGACTACCATCTCCTTCATCCTCTTCATCTCGATTTTTGAGCTCGGCTGTGTCAAAGGCTTTGTAATGATGAGAAAGGAGCTTTCCATGGTGGGGTGGCTTCTGCTTCATACGGTGGTGGATGCAGATTTCACAATAGATAAGACCATACTTTTTGTGAATGTGAGGTGATTTCGGCAGCTATGTGAGTGTTATGTTTTTAATATTCACGCTTGAACGCAAATTTCTTCAGAATAAACTATTTCATCATGCTAATCAAAACAAAGGCCTCGATTCAATAACCAGGTAAACGAATGTAATGAACAAATGCATTGGGTCTAATAAACACAATACTAAGGTGATTAATAGCTCCCTTGGAGTTTGTAATCCTCTCGAAGTGGGATAAATGATATTCGAAGTTTTAGGCAGGGAAGTTTCCTTCAACGAATTAATTTTGGTATCCTAATCACGAGATGGTAGGCGTTTTGTTGATTAATGTTGAGCGGTGCAGTATGGCTGAAGAATTGGCAATTCATAACCGTGGGTACATTCGAAAGTTTGTATTTTCTCTAACAATATTTCATCACATGGAGGGAGAGAGAGGGAGATAATTATCACCGACCCGTTTTACTGCGTGCATGCCAATGTGGAGAAAATGAGTGTGATTAGAAGCAGTTTCATGCAGAAGAGCAGCTACGGCTGCAACAATGATGGCCCTATTTCCCTCACCCAGCGAGTGTCAATGACGGCCGCTGGCTCCCACGCCCATATCCCTTTACGTGCCTCCTCTCAACCCCACTGCCTCCCCCAACCCCCATCTTCCCCTCTCAGTTATTTTGACGTCTCTTTCGCCGGGGTGATGCCATCGTCTCTGTCTCACCTCGCCACCTCTTCGCCTTCTCCTACCCTTACATCATCCCTCCTGCATTCTTCCATCCTTTAAGCTATTTCCTGTGATTGACGAGAGTGAGTTCAAGATAAATTTAAAGATGCTTTACCTTCTGAGTGTAGTCAGCAAAATAACTCAACTTCGGGATTTGTATTTGTAAAATTAACTTCAGATTGACAAAAGAGATTTTCCTCACCTCCCTTTTACACGCGTTTCTTTTGGAATTTTTTGCAATATGCAAGAGAGAGGTTTCACCCACTAGATTTGAGTAGTCTCCACTGCCGTAGAATTGCTAATATTTTAGTCTTAAATGGCCAGCTGGAATTTGGAATGTCGTAGGCCATGGTTAATTTCTTTTTCTTTTCCGTCGTAATTCCCTTTCCACTTCTTTTTAAACAAAAGTTAATTCTATGAGATTTTTCAAATTCTCAAACAATACCAGAGAAAAAGGGAAATTTTCAGATCAAACAAGGTGGTCTTCAGGTGTTTCGCTTTCGTTTCAGATCATCACCGACCTCAATCGCAGACAAGTGGTCTTAACGCTCCAATCTCCGTGACACTGCACGACCTTTCCCCTAAGGCTGGAAAATTTACTACCATTGGTCGTTATCCTCCCTTCAAAACGGATCTCTATCCCTGTGTAAGTGCAAAACTCTGCTTACTCCCTAATTTGACCACTTTACTAGTTAATCTCTCCTATTGTGACAGAGAACTTTTTAGAACCTGACCCAAACTATTTTGATTTTAAATTGGGCAAAGAGCTTTTGTGGTGTCTCGCCAGACATTGCGAACATGATTTTGCTACCGCCAGAGAAGACGCCTGTGGGGGGGGGGGGACGGGGTGGGGAGGAAGCGATAAAATCGAAAAAGGCGTTTTTTTACATCCTAAAAATCGACTTAATTTTACTGGTTTCTAAGACGTGTCTCACTGCCTTACTGCCTCGATTGATGAGTAAGGGGGGTCTCCACGTCTACTTGAAGTCTTCTAAATTTAAAGACTTTCCAACAGGTACGACCCGTCTTCTATGCGGTTAATCAAGTTTAATTACTCAACCGCAAACTTGCTCACTCATTATTTATGTTTACAACATCTTAACTTTGTGAATTAGATCAGTAAAAAGTACCACCATCTTTTTTCCTTTAAACAGATATTTATTCTATAACTCTGTTTCTGTGTCCCACCATCTTTATCCATGTTGCTGAATATATGTGGTTGTCAAAGATAATATCTCATATCATCGGGAGTAAGTGGTGCACCTCGAGGGAAGGGCAGACCCAGACACAATTTTTCTTCTACCTTGGCGGGAGAACGATTTATTAATCTGCAATTACCTATCAAATTCAAATGAAGTGTTGGATTATTAGTTAACTTGAATGAAAGCAATGCTCTGAGGTCTTGCAAATCACACTATCGCGAGCTTTTTTTAAGTAGTCTGTGGAGGCGTGCCTACCTTTTAGTTCCCAGCGTAAGGTAAAGTGAATGGCATTGTTTTAACAGTCAAAAGTCTCGGTGTAATGGAAAGGGACTTTCTTTTCTTTAACTGAATGGAGTGGAAACATGTCTGGGAGTTTTATGATTCACAAACAAATTCGATAAGAATGTCTCCTTTTGGGCATTAATTCTACACCAAAAGCACTGTATACGCTAAAATTCCGTTTTTTTACCACCAGGAATGAGATTTAGTTATTAAAATACATTCCCTTAGTTTGATCCGTTAGTGTCTCTGGGTAAAATTGTGGTTTCGCTGGCTAGAGAGATACAAAAATAATTACTAGCTAGGAAATTTTATTACCTTTTGGTTAACTCATAACTTCTATTGGCGTTTTTGTTCCATTACGTGAGAAGTGCAGCATTAAGGAAGACATTTCTCCTCCCAGTAGCGTAGCGATTACCCATCCATCTCGCCTTTGTGCTTCCGTTCCTCCCTTTCTCCCTATTACTGCATCGGAAAATGATTTAAAAATAGGCATTAAAATGACAAATTCCTGATCTTTGCAACGTTTCGAGCTTTGTGGTCAATTATCGTACACAGGCTTCAAATTTCCCAAGTTGTTCCTGTCACCCACATTCCAAACATTTGATAACCGGTTGTACTCCATCCTTCTATCATTTACTTTACCATTCCGTGGTGAAGGGTTATCTGCAGAAGTTTTTTGATGAATCAAAAAGACTATTTAAAAGCAAGGAATAACCACTTGACACTTAGTATTCCTTAACTTAATTCCGAAACTGACAAATTGCCAATTGAGCTGACTTTATGCAGACAATCGTGTAAATTTTTTCCTCTCCTTCAATTACATCATTCAGACACGAGTTTTTAACGTCGGATTTTTAATGAATACTTTGACTATTCAATCATTTCCATGATCAGTCCACTTTGTTGTCTGACATAGATGACATGACATCGCATTCGATGACTTTCTTTTCAAATGGCTCTCAACTCTCTGACCACATTTGATTGTAATGAATGCTTTGCTGTGTTTTGTTGTCTTGATGGGACAAAAGACTGGTCTCATTAATTTGAGTGAGAGCTAATAAGGCTAAGATGAATAATTTGCAGGTTGTGCTGACTGCATTCTCCTTTTACCCCAGATAGTGTTTCCATCAAAAAGACTTGGAGCTTATAAAATAAGTGTTGGTCGTTTTTGGTCATTTTGACTTTAGCTTTTCGAGCATGTTTGAAGTTTTTTCATACGTGGAATTACATATTTGGATGACCTTTTGGTTTTCCTTACGTTGTCAGAGACGATGTCCGTAAATTACTAGAATTGTTGAATTTCATTTGGTTTCGGATCATTTTTAAAAGGTAAATGACTTATCAAGCCTCTTTTGTCTAAGCGCAAAATGCATTTCCCTTCAACAGATTGACATCCAATCCCAAATGCTAGTAACAGTACCGCCTGGATCGGAGAATAGTTTCACCATATCGCCAACCGGACAACTTATGGGAAGCGCGGTTTACACTGACGATGCTAGCCAAATGACCCCTCTTCTTACTCAAAAGAACAATCTCATGATACCTGCTTGTCATGGAGATAGCTTACAAAAGGTTTCTTTCGGTCCCATTTATGGGACCGCCTGTGTGTCTGGGCCACGTCCTCCCACTGCGTCTGTCGCCAAGTCGTCCATGTGCTCTATTCCCCTTGTGGCTCAGTATGCCTCCCAGACTCCAGTAACCACCACATCACCATCTAGAACCCAAACGTATAGCGCTCTTCTTCCCTCAAAGTCATACAATGAATTGCTTCACTGCTCTTCAACGAAAACTAGTACTCTTGGTCGTCAACAGCAACAGCCATTGCTAGCTGCCTACAACAATGTTGGAAAGAAATATCAAGAGGACTACCAGATCCCATCGGCACAGACAGCTGCTCCTGATGACCTCAATTCTGCTTCCCTGAACTACAATTCAACTGCTTCCTTCACTCCTCTTCAGCTGACTCCGTCCTCTAGCCGATCACCCTCTCGTGTTACAGACCCTTGCGGCTGCGGACAAACTAGTTTTGTCTAGCCATTCTGTCCGATCATCTTACTACGCGTCAATTTGTGCTACCTTTGAAAGTGTGCATTATGTATATACATCCTATCGAATCCTATTTTGAAAGCTTGATAATATCGCTAGCCTAACTACATTTTCGGTCGTGTCTGTTGATCCAAGACGAAAATGTGAGTCCGGTTATCTCTTAACTTTGATCTGCCCTCCTTTGTTCTAAATATAAAGCATAATACGGGGTTTGGAAAGTGATGTTCATCGTACATACCAGTTACGTGAGGGCCAACCATGTTATCAAGGCTTTCTTTTTGCTTTCGTGAAATACATTTGCAACGATAGCCCACTTAAGCTGTTTTCTTTTTTTTCAATTTTTAACTACCTAGATGACCTACTTTTGTGTCGTTCAGTGTCGAATTTGTTTCAAGAAAAAGTATGCTCAAAAAATGCCCCAATCTTGGCACGCCGATTGATGAAAGGAGGGGCAGCGTTAAAGTTTTAACGCACATAGATGTATATGTAAATTTTTTGAAACCCGCTACCGTAATAAAAGCAATAAAATGCAACTGGAAATCTCCGAGAAAGGTTGGATGTATGCGTAGAGACAAAATATACATTCTGCCTCTCCGCAAAAGTGGCCGTGTTTCCCATAGGGAATAGCACGAAATTCGGAACCTCTGCAGCCCCTTCAGCCCCATGCCCCGATTACCATCTCACACACATTTGGCAAGTGTGGCACACACACACACGTGCTCCCTCTCTCTTCCTCGCCTCCTCACACACGCGCTCGTCTTTTGGTGGGACTGCAGCACACGCGAAAGCTTTTAGACCACCTCACTCCCGCCCTCCCTCCCTCCCACCTAAACCGCCTCCCACTACCGCCGCCAGTGCCGCCGCCGCTACCGCCGTCTCTGCGACTCAGGCCACGATTAGCAGTGCCTTCCCATCTGGACGAACTAAATGGCGCCGCCGGTTGTTGTGCTTTGTAAGCATGTGTGTGTGTATGAATTACTTGAAGTGCTTGTGCTCTGAAGCATTTTCCGAGATGCGCTTATAGACAAATGCGTGGAGTGTAGTGACACGTTGCGGAGTAAAATCTGAGTTTATTAGTCATACCGAGAGAAAGTTGGGAAAGTCTCACAGCAGGTCAGTCATGGATAAACTTCCGGGGTGTAATTTAGTATGTTCTGCAACTGGACTATTATGCGACAGTGTTCATGGTAAACTAAGACTGGATTTTTAAATACGAAGTTCAGAGGAACAGTAGTAAATAATTTCGTAAACGAATCAAACAATTCGTTTTGAGAAAACCAAGGTTCATACAAATTAAAACAAATTTGTCAGCTATGTACTGTATAATTAATTGATTGTTTAGTTTCCATTTTTTTTATTTCTACACATTGTCTTCATTTTAAGGTCACTTTTACAAGGTGATTAGATAAATACCTAATTATTAAGTGTTTAACCAATCTACGGTTTGAAATGCCCCGCCTTTAGTGTCATCATATCAAACGCAGGATCATGTTGACATACGGTAAGGAAAGTAGTTTTGCTGTCCTCAAACATTGGAAAATCCAATATTTACCCTTTTTAATAGAGAATGAGCCATAAGTTTTGGGTATCATAAGCCAGAGATGCCTATTTAAAGGAAATGATTCACTCGCAACAAAGTTAAATAGAACTGGCTAAATCTGACACTATTATGCACGGCTTGCCAAAATTTTTGTTCTAAAATCGGCCTATGTTGAATGAGACAACTAAAAAGGAAGAACCGAAGGGAAGGATCAATTAACAACACGGGTGTGCTGTGCTCTCAACATCTGCTTCTGGATTTTCCAGTAGTCTGGCTTCTAGGAATTTCAAGTCAACCAATTTACAGGTGGAATGTTAAATGTAATCTAAAGTGCTTGTTAAATAAATGTACGAAATGTGTGTCTAGTCTTTTTGCCAAATCTGTAGTGTACACTTTGTGGAATTTTGTTCTTTTTGGCAGACAGGATTCACACCATGTCACACATCTACAAGAAGTCGGTTTGAGAGAATATTCGGGTATATGCTGGTGCCTTGGATTCATGGTGTAGCCTTTTTGTCTCCTTCATACACCTTCTTTATTTTGGATTTTTAAATTCTGTTTTCGCTCTTCACTTGCGTGACTCATTTTGCAGGCGTTATATCGCTTTTTTGAAAGAAAATACAACAAGAAGAAACAAGTAGAATGTCAATGTTACCGTTCTCGGCCCAGCCATTCTTCACCCCATTCGTTAACTCGGTGACACTTTTGCGGTAAATCTGTTTAAAATTCTGTTATGATCTAGTGTTTATGTGAGTGAGCCTAAATCCTGTTGTGCTCCCAATCCGAGTCTTCAGGAAAGCAAGCTACAATAGGAAAGTCTCTAGTTGCCGACACATGTGAATAGACAGGGGACAGGCCTCGTGTCTACATGACAGCTGGTCGACCAATGGAGATTTCTGGGGGCACAGGGTGGACCCTAGTTTCGCAGCATCGATTGGCCTTGATCACATAGTGATTATTAGAACGCTTAAAGTCTATCTGCACATTATCATGGCCGATCAAGGAGATTGGGGGAGATCACGATATTCTAGAATGTTAGAAAATTGAACGCGAAAAGAAGGCCTCAAAGAAGTCAAAGTAGGAACGATTTCTGTGGTTGCGGACAGCCCCAGCGAGCGTATATTTGCATTGTGCAGTCAAAATCTTTTTTTCATAAAATACAGCGAAATGTGAAGAACAATGAAGATTATACAAAAGAGTAAACGCAATTTAAACCGGAATGACGAAATTACAAAAGGCAGTTAAAAATGCTAATGCACTTGCCTATTTGGCACAGGTAAGAAAGAGGGAGGTAATTAGCACAGTTCGTCGTCAACAGCCAGATTAATATCAAATGACCTACCAAATTTTTTTGTAAAAAAAGCTCGATGGACCATCGATGACAATTAATGACTAATTCTTCTGCCAAGTCTAATGTTAAGACGTCTTACTTAAAAGAGAGTAATTTCTCAAAATCAAAAATGTGTGTTATGGGGCTTGAATCACTCCCTAGAGGACAGTTTCATACACATCTGCACTCACATTAAAAATGTATTAGGTGAGGTGGTTGATACTTCGTATTTGTTTGTGCATCCCAAAAATCACCTTTTCACATAGGTATTATTGTTTAAGACGCACTAGAAGTGCGAATTTATGCTACATCATCGAAATTTGGTAAATGCTGCCTGTTGATTTGCGCTCTATGCCTATCTTTTATTGCAATTGTAAGTGCTCAACGAGAAATTGGCTTGCTTTCAGTGTATCACTTTGCTCCTAGAAGCTGCCTTTTCTTTTCTCTTTTGCACGTTTTCATGGCATTACCCAACCCTTGTGCCAAGAAAAGTTTGATAAGCATCGAATGGTAAAACATCAACAGGGCGACATGGAGGCCGAGGATGAGGACGAGACAGCATCCTCCTTCCAATAATAAAGTACAAATCTTCTCAAGGTTGGGCTTTGCGGCGGTTTGAGGTATGGGGACGTGTTGCTGTGCTGTGTCGTTGGTATAAGAATGGTATCTTCCTCCACTGGCTGGATGGTTGTGACCAAAAGAGGCGTTTGGCTTGCATAAAATCAAGACATATCGAGCAGCATCGAATCAGGTCGATGGATCTTAGACGCAAATGTTGTTGAAGTCTACATGAAGTGAACAATTCGTGATCGAACAATTGCGTCTGCAGTGTGCTATGCGGTACCCACAGAAAGACTAGTCTTGCCCTGTGGAGATGGAGTGATGTCTATTTTATAAGTAGGGCATGGGTAGCGAGATAGATGGTTTGGAGATAATCTACGGTATGTCTGAGTCATTCATAATCGAAACCACCGGTTTAAATTATTCTAGACAAATAGTTACACTACTGTGTACCGTCCCTTCTCCAAATACTCTGCAATTTTTACAAAGGAGCTTTAGAATGGAATCGGAATTCTCAAAACAGACAGATTAGAACTACATTCATAAAGTTCAATCTGCGTACTGCAATCCAGCGGCGGATTGAAGTAAACTACAAATATAGACTGATATGTCCATAGACTGACATTAATCCATGCTTCATAAAGCATCCGAACAATGCGACCCTCTAAGTCATTGTTAGGGAGTGATGCAAAATGCCACCTTTCATAAATGCGTTAGGATAGTTTTGCTAGGTTAGTCTACCATTATCATTTGCCTACCAAACTCAGTATGCACATAGAAACTGACTGTTTTATAATAAACAAATTAGTTACCAATCAGTTTTTGATCCAGTTTTATCTGAGAAAAAAGACGAATGATGGTGATTATGCGTTTCTAGTATTAGGCTAATCATTCACTCACCCTTCCAATCTATAAAAGCATTTTGCCCACAAAAATGTAGGCAAAAAATGCGAATCTTAGAATGGAAATGTATTGTTAAGATGAAAAAGTGGAGGCCAAAAAAATTAAGTTATATTTGCCACCCTGTAGATAAAATTTTATTGTGCCTCTTCAGTAAGCCCAGTCTAGAATTAAGTAATGCAATGAACCAATGAAATGGAACAAATAAATGAATGAATTTGCAATATTTTAGTCGAGCAAATTATAGGGAAGTTAAATATTGCGCTTATGTGATGATAGTGGCAATCCTGTGTTAATGCAACCACAGGCCATGAATTCAACCGAATTGCTGTGGTGATGGCAAAGATCGCTCAATCTATCAGCCATTACTTCGGCATTGTAAATTTTAAATGCCTTGCAATATTAGCACTGACTCTGAGGGCTTAAAAATTCCATTCAAAGATTATTTAGCCGCACACGCGAAGGTGGTAATTCAAGAGAGTCAAAGTAAATAAGGCGCATGGGCCTACTTTAGGCGCTTAACTCGTCCGGAAGGGTGGCCAAGTGGTTTATAACGCCTCCCCTCCACTTACCCTTACACCTCTCTGTCAGAACATAAAGGTGCGAGCCTGATTGACCGCCTTAACACATCATCATAACAGGCTTTTGAAGAGTCTTCTTCTAAACGCATTAAGTCTTTCACCTCCTCCCCCCTCCCCTCACCTTCTCTTCCCATTCCGTGCCCTCTCGTCAAGACCTTGTGTTAATGCCCACCTGTAATTAGCTAGGCGCCAGGCTATTGTTGGGTTGGGCCATTCATGCAAGCAGAGCACAATCGTAACAAATTAATTTCACCTTTTCATCTAACTTCTAGGAGCGCTTTCTTAGAAGTCAGTGATTTTTACGCATTCTAATGAGACGCGTAAACTTTCTTTAGCAAGGAAAAGTAATGCCAGGAAGTATTTTGATGATCACATCGCGAAGGCTACGAGGGTTTTGGATGAAATACGTAAAAAGAGCCATTACGGTCTTTAATCCATTTTAACTCTAGAGGCAAACAACCGAACCTAGCTCTTGGACACCTCTCCCTTTCCATCCCACTTTTGTCTCCCAAATGTCCATTCTATTTCGCGCCTATTCGTGTCCACAAAAAGGCCTTCCTAAAGTGGCTCTAGAGGCGCCAATAAATGCGACCAGTGTATATTTCTGTAATGCAATACCAGAATTGCTATTTAAAGTTATTTTTAAGTTGATTAGCTACCACGTACTGGACATTTCCCAAATACCATACACACTTAAAGGGAGGGGCTTTTGAACCTCTTCTCATTGCTCTGACTCATCCGGCATATTAAAATATAGTGGAGGGTCAAAAATAAGTAAAAGGGTTTAAAGACACAATGTGGACTGGTATACCGATGGATTAATGCCATTTCAATAACGGACCCCTAATTACACAACGTCTTTGTAGCAGGCTATACCAAAGCCATTGCCTTGGAAACCCACCTTACAGACCTCCCTTCCCTATGGTATTAGCGAGAGTAACTCGAGGATAATTGCAAAGATTTCTTACTTCTAGGTAGATGGTTTGATCATAGATGGTTTGGTATAGAAGGTAAGGTGTCCGCTTCGGGCAGCTAAAATTGCTCAAAATCGCCGCAGCAGTGTCTAAGTAAATATTTTAATTGCTTGTTAAATGCGGAGCGTCGAGTTCAGGAAGCGGAATGGCGAGATCTGACGAATGAATTTTAGTGGTCAGTGGAGAGGATCTATTACCTAGTCAAAAATTGACTGTAATTAAAAACTGAAATAAATTGTTAATGAGGTAAAGCAGGAGGGATCAAATAGGGACGATATGCTGATAGACTGTTCTAATACTGTGCATGGGTGCTTGGTGGTTCCAGAGGTCTCCCCACTGTTAATGCAAAGCTGTTACCTGACCCCCATTTGTTTCATGCGCTTAATTTGGGGGCGGTCCAGCTAAGGAAGGGACACCTACCGGTAGGCGAGAGTTGTCCACATCTCTCACACCATGATTAAGCTACTTTTATGGATCAGTATCACCACCACTCATCTAGCATATTTACTACTTTCTATTTTATTCGTAAACTGCTCCATTTTTTGGTTTAAATCTACTTGAATTTTCGGAGACGAATTCTCAAAGTGTAATGGTTCGTTAAGACTGAACGCGTAAGCAGTGATGGTTAACGGCTTGCCTGGGACAAATCATACACCCTTCTCTAACACTAAAGAAACATTAATTCACAAATTACTCAGTCACTAATGTTGGCTGCTGGTCGTTTGCTTACTAGTAGGTGGGTCAGTTAATTGCCGTCGCCTTTTCTATTCTTTTTACAACGCACAGTCAGTATGCACAACTAATACTTGATTTTATAATTGAAAAGCGTCTACAGCATTCTTGGACAGACATTTCCTATTTCATTCACAATATGTCAAGCAGTAGTACACCAATATTGGGCATCCCTAAGTCTACAAAAACGGTCCCGTTTTAAATTTTTCGGAGTTTCCCTTCCATCGCGTTTAAATTACAAGCATTCTAAAGCATCCGAAAACTCGCGTAACATTCGATTCCCTGATTAGTTATTATCACTTGTAAATAGACCTTTAAAACTCGCTGGAATGGTTGGAAGTTAAAAATGATAAAGGCAAAATTCTAAAAAAATCCAATTAAGAGCGTTTTCTGGGGTTTTGGACCTTCCTAGCAAATCATCTTCACCTAATAGGAACAATTTATATCTTTTTAATGCTAATGCTTGAGCAACCAGATTTGTTAAAGAAAAGAAAATTGGCGAATGAACTTTTACTGTCCTGTTGCAGTAGTGAAATTACCCACCTTGCATTAATTCACGAGGTATTCAGTAAAATTGAAATATAGTGGATATTTTTAGACAATAATAATACTTTAAGATGAAAAATACATATATCCATTCAATGGCCTTCGCGAATAAAAGAGGGTACAATTTTATGTCTCAACAAATTTCTATCACTAAGCCAGATTACTGTCCTGGACATGAGTAGAACATCGTCTGGGTAATATTCCACTAAATCAACTAATTTCGTCATGATGATAATGTTGTTGGTTTTTTATTATTATTCACTATTTATTATTCAAAAAGTACTCACGAATTGACGCTCCAAATGTCGTGTTAGGAAAAAGTGAAACTAACTAACCTTCTCTTTGATCTGAAGGCATACTGGGAGTATTAAAACTCCACTTATCGCATTGTGCCTAACTTTAACATTACATACGGTGACATCTTAGAGGAGCTATGAAAACAGATTTTAGTAGCACAATCAACACTACTGCCGGTATACAGTGATGTGACGTTAATACATCCGCTTCTAGAATCTCATAGTAATATTAACCAACATAGCTCTAGATGCCAGATCAAATGTTGCTCAAAAAGTGGGAAAAAAGTGGCATTCCTGCTGAACAAAAATATTCTATTCCAGTTTTATTGTTTAAAAATCATCAATCATGGTTGTCGCACAGGATTTGGTGCAAACAAGAACTATAGAAATGACAAAAAAATTACCTCACTTATTCATGACCTCAGGGTCAGATGATAAAATTTAGACGTCGATAACATTTGACGTTCGTAGCGAATATGATGGTCCAAATGGAGATTGTCAGATCAGCACTTCATTTATTGTCTTTTGAATAAAAAAAAAATATTTGGTCTCAACACCTATGTTATAGCTTCCTTATGAGCACAGGAAATGTAAGTGATTTCAGTACAAATGCCTGGTGGAAATTAAACTCTTAATACCGCTTCCCTTACTTTAAAAAGACTAATCTTTTGAGTAAATGTGTTGAAATTTTAGAAATTTTCCCATTAAAATAGCCTAGTTAGAGTTTGGCTTTGAATGCACATAACTATTAAATGTATTACCAGCTTAAATGGGAATTTAGGAGTTTAATTTATAAATTTGCATATTTTCTCCTTCCTTTCGAAACGATTGCTTCTTTTTTAGTCTAGTACTACAAAAATCATTTGTCGTAACAATTCATCAATAAAAACCTGTCCTTTTTGTATTTTGGACAAAATTGAGGTGTAGCGTATAATTAAAGATGGAAAAGTCTAGAGGAACATGAAAGCTTCCATAAATTAGCACGAGTTCTTGTGACCATTCCTACTCAGATAACTTGAGATGTTTGTTTAAATATTCTTTATATTAGCAAATCGGCCTATTTGACAAACCTAGTGATGGAAACAACAAATCACCCATCCTTGATAAGAATAACAATCTCGACTCTTGTATACTTCCTTTTTCAAACAGCACATGATTTCCTTAACAAATCAATCCTTTCCATCAAAAGTATGAAGAGTCCGGATCCTTAATTTTCCTGAGTGATGTGCGTACTAAATTGCGTTGCAAATAGTTTAACAATACATTCTGAATTTTCACTCAATATCTCTTACATAGAAGACAATTTGGTTAATGTCTTTACCACGAAAATGGAAAGGATTATTTTCTAATTATTGAGTAAAGCTTGGTGGGGTTAAGGCTCTCAGTTTAGCCCACCCCAAAACCAATATGCAAATGGACTGTAAACCTCCACTCTTTCCCTTCTGAAGGAACGCATGAAGAAAGTTTGATTAACGCTGGAATTAGAGTGGATGAAACTTTGAAGACGAGATAAAAAGAATAAAATGCAAACTAAATAGGACTTTACTGTACATAATTTATACAGGCATGATTCTAGCCTTAATGAGTAAACTGCACTGAGGAAGTAGTTGAGGTGGCTATAAAGCAACGCATATTGCCTCCTAAGTTGGGAAACGCAAGAAAATAGAATGTGAAGGTACAACCAATTCTACAAGTGCACCAAAAAGGGAATACGATAAATTGCCATCTCCAATTCTTTAATTGCTCCAGGAGTAAAGCAGTAGAGACGTTTGAATCACTGATATCCAATTTTGCCACTCTTTTGCAATATGTTCTTATACAATCGTAGCATGACTCTTTCGTTGATTCGAAAGAGTCCCTTAAAACCATTGCGTTTTTTTTCACGTCTTCTGAGTTTGTATGTGAAGAAAATGTGAAACTTACTCCGGCAATCTGTAGGCGAATGCAAAAAAAACCAACCAAACACCGCTTCTCCGCCCACTGTTTATAAGCCTCGCACAGGTTACGAGGAAATCGTCTGCAAAGTTAAAATACCTAGTTTCGAAAAATATACGTATTTAAAGAGCTCTATGCAGAAGAAAATGAAAGCATCAGACTGTGTGAACGCGGGTCCTGTCGAGTTCCCAACTCAAACGTCCAAAGAGATAAGGACATCAACTCGAAGTTCTTGACTATCGACCAGTCTAAGTAAGCTAGCTGACCGGAGGAGACATTTAGTAGTTCCGTCCTCACTAATTTGCGGTATTTTGATTGGCCTTGGGCTTATCGTAAATTATCAGCACACCGAAAGACTACACCCGTAGGTGATAATGGCCGAGAGAGTAGGAGATTGGGAATACACTAGACTGTTCGGAAGTTAGGCGCGTAACAAAATGAAATTTTCAGAAAGTCGGAATAGAAGCGCATTCTGGGATCGCAGTCATCTACAACGTCCACTAGGGCAAATACATTCAAATTTATAAAGTACTGGGCCTAATGTGGTTGTGTTCGTGACCGTTTCTAAAAAAACTGTCGAAATGTACTTCAAGTTATTTTCACGAAGCTTCCTCTGACGCTGAATCAGTCAAAATGTGTATTTAAAGTGTAGGCAAGCGTAAAATAGCATTTTTTGGTTACTTGGCAGGTCAGCAGCGAGAGTAAGGCAATGTGTACTGTGAAAGAGTCTGCAGGCTATAACAAATAATATCCTCTGTTACCGGTTGCATTTCCCACAGTCGCTAGAATGTGGTAGTACTGCAAAGGATCAAAAAAATTAGAACCATTTCTTTATAGCTAAATGTCTCTGCCCACTAAGAGGAGACAGTAGTCTGCATCTTCACCTAGATTTATTGTGAAAGCCTAGAGTGTTTTCATGAAGTCTTGAGATCTATCGAGATGTTCCACATAAATAGCCTCAAAGTCTAGGAAGTCTTCTATTTTTTGCTTATAATGGAGCACAAAGCCACTCATTTTCCACTTAGTACCTGTGGCATTGCTCGATTTTCACATCATTAGGACCATTTTCAGTTGTTCGTTGACTTGCCTTAATTTATTACTACTTCTCGCAAAGGCTCTAAAACAAAATAATTCTTGAAGGGACGTAACTTCAAAATTGGAGCAAGTCTGAGCGTATTTTACTCAGTTAAGCAAACAAATCGTCTATTTTAATCATAATTTTTGCCGACCTTTAAATGACTTCCTTATGTTTGCCGTCACTTACAAAGGGTTAAGGTGGTTAGTCCTTTACCAAACAATAAATGGAAGAATTTAACGCTGGAATAAATTGTTCAAATGTTGGCTAATATTTAAAAATTGAATTCAAGGTTTTGTTTTAGGCCTCCGGAATACCTTAATGCGAGTGCAAACTTAACATAAATTTCCGGGTAAAAAGGTAAACAGCCCACATACGAATATATTATTGCTTTTTGTCGATAAGAGTTCTACTTACCTTTAAATTATCTAACTTCGCTATTTTATGAGCACTTCATTTCATTTCGACATTTATACAAATGGGAACACTATGCTCAGGTGACAGCAGATTGATAAATTTTACAGACAAAATCCCAAGCATTGACATTCATCCACGTTTTACGCCCATGACTTGAGCTCTCACAATATGTATGTAGTCTTTTTCAGGGCAGACAAACGTGCTTTCTTAAAAGCAGCTACACTTTCACTACTTTTATCCATTTTAAGGCATGTCCAAATACTCCTAGTGACTTAAGTGGAGGCATAAATGCAAAGTACATTTGGTAATTAGAAAAGCCTGCCTAAACTCTATCCTAAATTATTTTTCTACGGGCTAAAATGCCCAGTTTTGAGAAGCTAATAAAATCTGTAGAAAAGAAATTTGTCAAAGTTTTGCAGATTTTGGGCTCCATTCAATAACGCTGCACTATTTTAAGCCAGGCTATTGTGATCAAAAAACTTAATGGTAAAGCCTTTTAAGGACTTTATTCACTGATTCGATCAGGGTTAGAGACAGACTGACGAATCCCAATTTCGGTGCAATGCTTTGCCTTGAGAAGCAAACGATCAAATCTATGTTCTATCCCACCATCACTCAATTGTTTTTCTTTTACACATTTTTTTTGTAATTTTTAAACGCTTGTGCCAAGAAAAGTTTGATAAGCATCGAATGGTAAAACATCAACAGGGCGACATGGAAGACGAGGATGAGGACGAGACAGCATCCTCCTTCCAATAATAAAGTACAAATCTTCTCAAGGTTGGGCTTTGCGGCGGTTTGAGGTATGGGGACGTGTTGCTGTGCTGTGTCGTTGGTATAAGAATGGTATCTTCCTCCACTGGCTGGATGGTCGTGACCAAAAGAGGCGTTTGGCTTGCATAAAATCAAGACATATCGAGCAGCATCGAATCAGGTCGATGGATCTTAGACGCAAATGTTGTTGAAGTCTACATGAAGTGAACAACTCGTGATCGAACAATTGCGTCTGCAGTGTGCTATGCGGTACCCACAGAAAGACTAGTCTTGCCCTGTGGAGATGGAGTGATGTCTATTTTATGAGTGGCATGGATGATGAATAAATATTTTTGAAATAACTATGAGGTGCCAGCTTACTTAACAGGTCTCTTCTCATCAAAAGTGCACCAGTGGTTCAGGCCTCCAATCTAACACGGAATTTGCGCACCTCTTAGAGGGAATCTCTATTAACCTTCTAGGTTGAATATTTTGAAATCAAATCAAAATTTTACATAAAGGGTTCAGCTTATTGGGATATTTTACTAATTTTCATTACTTAATTTTAATCTACCATTCGAAACAGACTAAGGCAGCACTACCCTGTTTATTATGGCAGGGCCATTTGACAAAAAACTGGACTTTCCGGTGCGAAATTATAAAATATAGCCCTTTTAATTTTTTTTTACCTAGCTGTGTTTTACTACTTTGAATTACTGAGGTTTGTTTTGGGGAGAGGGAGGGGCAGAAGTGACGACCAGGATTAGGAGCTGCCGTGGTCCTGTCGACTGTAGCGGCGGCATGTACAAGCGACCGTCCCAAGAGTGTCGCCAGCAGAGCTGGACTGGTAGAGAGGATGCCGAAGGTGTGACAAATTGTTACTGCTCCCTCCCTCCCTCCCCTCTACCAACCCACACCCTACCCTACCCCACTCGCCGGACAGGGGCAGTTAAACAGTTAAAAACACACTGGGGGTGCTGCTAAATAATTAGGGAAAAAAAAATCTTCACTCACTCACCAGCTCGCCCTTTGGTCCAAGCTTCTGTGAAATTCATTAGTGCAATGAAAGGCTCCCAAGTGGGCAATTAAGTGGTCCCACTTCTTGATGAAATTAGCTTTTTGCGCAAAATTTATTACCTAATTAAAGAAACTAAATGTTACAGTGAAGAAGGAGCCGAAATGCAGCCAATAGACCGTTTAAAAATAGTAGTTAACTGAATATAACTGTCTAAACGAAAGTCAATCCTGGGTGTATTATCAAGTATAGCAAAAATTTTTTGCTATACAACAAACAAACAAACAAGCAAACAGAGTGGCTCTTTTGCTTTACTGTCCCTTCGTGGCATTCTGCTACTGTCCAGTCATCCACCTGAATTAACCACAGAAACTTGTCATAATTAACATGGAGTTATTTAGCTGCAGTCAAATCTGTCAGCCTTCCTCAAAGCAAGAGGAAAAGGTATTGAGCATACTCATTCAAGCTGAGTGGAAACGCGTGCTGGAAAATGCGGTCAAAAAGACAAAAATTTGGTAAAAAGCAGATCCTTAAGTCACCAGATTGAGAATTTGATCTGAGAGGATTGAATGACATCAATCAAACGCAAGTCAGCCACGCGGCACTGTCACTGTGAATGCAGGCGATCCAGAATGGATGGAATGAATCGGCGTGCAGATCTTATTATCCACCTTAGAAGAATGAACAAAGGGTTGCACTGAATGAGGCTAAGTAAAAAGTAAAAAAGGGAGAAGGAGGGAAGGAGAATTGATCGAATTTCCAAATGCATTTACATTCTTTTGGTCTATTTAAATACCATAGGATATTTGGGAGTCACAAAGTTTAGTAAGTTCATTGTGGAAAAACAGACCTTTTACTCGACTTCTAAGAGCAGTTTTATGCAAGTTTAAATATCTGCATTCAAAGAAACAAAGACCTACATCTTACCATTTTGAAAAAGCAAAAAAACAGAACGTTAGATTGAGGGCTTTTTGATTGATTTGTCATTTGACTGCAAAGAGCGATTAATGAACGAGTGAGATGGGGTGCATCACATCCCATACACCATAAGTGATCGTAAACTTGGAAGGAAATTTAAGACTACAGTTTAATTTAGAAACAATATTTACTGATAACTCGATTCAACAAAGTTCACAAAAGGAGATCCTTCAACCACCTTAAGAGCTGAGAAAAGAACCGATTAGCATTCAAGGACACGAGAGCACTTTCTTTACGAATCGATTCTGTACACAAGGTAAAAAATTCTACCCATTGTATCACACATTCACAACTTAACTATCGGCCGCTGCATCTCGACTCCCCTGCTGTTTCTCTTGATACTCCCGAAGATCCTTCTTCCACTCCTTCAGTCGCGACCACCGGCGCTCACTGCGAGTGCGCGGTGCCAGCCACGCTTGATGTTCGATAGTATCAGCGTGCTCAAAGAAAGTCAGTCGTTCTTCTTCGTCAGCCAGACCACGCAAACGACTCTTCACCGTCTCCAACACCCCCCGACGCCGTAGGCTCTCTGCCTCCTTCTGCCAAACCGTGGCGCGCGTCACCTCGAAGGTATCGTAGAGGCGCATCACCCGCTCGACCTCCGCCTTTTGGATTGATGTATCAGTTGTGATGGAGGTAACGAGGCTCGCTAGAGCGGTGTAGAAGGACTTCTTTAATGGTGTTATAGTCGATACGATCGCCTACAGTGAGATGAAAGAATGTTAGTCCAGTTATTTCAACTTATAAGAAAAAAACCCAAATCATAGTATTTACATCACATGCCAAATTGGTTACCATAAAATGGAATAACGTTTGTTTTAATAATACTATCTCAGGATTAAATTATTTCATATCAGTTCTAGAAAGTGCGTTCTACTACAGATCTTCTTTTTCCCGGGGAAAAAACCCTATAACAGATGATTTCGTTCGGTGAAACACCAGTGAAACACAGCGGATCCTCCAATTTGAATAATGAAACAATCCTGCAACTACTGTAAGTGTTTATTAATCCGAAAACAAACAAAAAACAAAATCTTACTCACTAGTCAAAAACTGAATGAGGCGTGATTTGATTTAAGCTTACTTCCGAAACAAAATAAGTCTGTCTCATGAAGTCTGTTTTGAGCTAGCTGATGCCACAACTCCTGAGAGGGTGTAGAGAAGACAAATTTAAGGTGTTGGAAGGACGAACAGAAATAAGTTCCGAAAGGAGAACTATGACCGCAATCTTGTATCACATTCGACTGCCTATGGTGACGTTTCGGGCATTTCACATCAATAGTCAAGGGAAACATATTTGATTTTAAAAAATGCATCGGCAAGCAGGAATTTATTCTACCCCAAATCTCAAGCAGACAAATTAGTGAATGGGTCGGCTAGAAAACTGTGTAGAGAATGATAAAAAGAACATTTTAAAATGCTACAGGAGAAAAGGTATGGTAATAAAAATGCAGGTAACACAAGAACGTCTGACCAAACTGGAACACTACTCAAACAGCGGATGAAAACGAAAAAAAGGAGTAAAATTCATTTGCGTAATGAATCGACGTGTCAATATCTACCATTGTTACCGTAGGCCAATCAATACTGGTAACGCAACATGGATGTCAGCTGCCAGAAATACAGAAACCATCATAGAGAGGTAATTGACTCAAATTAAAACACGTTTACCTATAAATAATGACAATTTGTAGTCATGGCTCATGTGTCAATGCGCAGTGAATTTCACAGCTACGAACAGAGATGAGAGATCGAATTAACGATATGGGAATGGAAAACGGAGACGTCTACCCTTAGTTGGAGAGGGCGAAAAGGAAAAAAGCATTCCCGTTTAGTAGATTGGACGAAATGACCGGACAAAGCTGACACGCAATAACATTGGAAATCGCATTAACTTGAGGCAAACGAAAAGCAAATTGAATGCCCAAGACAGTTCTACATGAATACGGTCTAAAAAGGATCAGAAGACAAACAAGAGTAAAAAATTGCAAATTTCAGATCAAACATTGATGATAGAAAGGTATGGAAACTACTCTGAACTGCAAGCACACACAAAAAAGGGCATTGTTATCTTATATGTCCACTGAAAAGAAGCATCAAATTTTCCGGTATCCAAAAAAGCAATAAAGCGGGTGTTATATGGTCAAGCGAAGTGGAAAAATAGTAATAAAGGAAGCTACAAAGCACCTCAAGTTTACAAAAGAAATTGGAAACAAAAAGACCTTGTATTTTTGCCAACCTCAACCATCGAAAAGAAAGCTTTGGTCAGGAGATGGCAGGCAGTAGCAGGAATCGACTGAATGTCCAATGTAAGTAAAATCACAGGTGGTGTAGATGTATGTGTAGGGTAAAGAATAAGCCATTTTATTGTAAGTTCGAAATTAAGGAACGAATTTTTAACGGGAGATCTCCTCAGTGAAAGTGAAAGTCTACCTCAATCAAGAGCTATCACCGGCCTTTCAACTACTGTGTAGCACTTTTAGTACAGAAGAATAGTGACAAAGCTCAAATAAAATACCATAGGATACAAATGATAAGCTAAATGGGAGCAGAAATGTATGTCACAAAAAACTTTCCTCTCACCGAAATACGTTAGAAACGATTGACGGAAGGCCACAGTGGACACGCAGTGTTGACAACGAGGCCAAAAAAGGCAATGGGCGTCATATCACAATGCAAAAATTAGTTGATACTTCAGAACCTTCTTGAAGTGTCCAGAGTTTCATGATCGTGTTAAAGTAGTGGCCTAACCAATATGAAGAGGGTGCACATAGCAAGCCGAACAGGAAGGAAAACAGACGTTAGCTTAAAATGCCTGTTTGGGAGCCTATTTCAGTAGCACCCTAAACTAGATCGTGCCGTGAAGTTGTAGGACAGGGGAAAGGGGTTCGTGATTGACCACGATTACCTCATTCGAGAAGCAAATGCAAGTTAACGATACCAAGAGCTTAGAACAAGCATTGGGATGTATTTTCTCACAGATACTTGGAAAAGGCAGCTAGTTTCATTTTCATGGCAAAATAGTGCAGTCCTAAAAAGAAACCCTTTGTTAATGATTAAATGAGTAGGAGAATTTGTCGATGGATAAAACTAAAAAATACAATTACTGGAATTCGTCAGTAGAAGGAAAGCTAAATTTTCAAATTTATGCCTGATTGGCACACTAGGATTCTCTTTGGTTAGATTTATTGCAACCGTACTTTGAATTTCTCCAACGTTGAGTCGACCTCTGATTCAGTTAAAAGTACTGGTTCACCGCGCCTTGTCTCGGAGTTGTCAGGGCGACGATCACTCGACTTAATCAGCTTTTCCACTGTCGCCAACTGAAAATAAAAAAACATAGGAATGTGTGTCCAGATCGAAAACAATACATAGCTATGCTCTAAATGAGAAACCCGCTAATCGGTTTAGAACGAGTCAACTGGGGTAAAATACCTCTAGTCCAAGTTTGTAGCTGTCATAATAAGTAGACTACTTATAATTCTTAAATAAACATTTTAGGATAAACGTACGACATCACCGTGGACGACCAAGGATTTGCTGGATGCAAAGGTCAAGAGTTGATTAGCATTCTCGAGGAGTGCGAATCCAAGAAGGCGAAGACTGGGAGCGATGGCTTTCAAGTCAATTGCCAAGTTATTTTGAAGTAACGGTGGCAATTTCCTCTCGATCGAACTAGCCAGTGAAAGAAGACAGTGTCCCAGTTGGAGACGAGGTCGGCCAATATCGAACCAGCCATCGTAGTTCGGATTTCTCAGGTAGGCCACGCTCCGATAGTCAACCTGAGAATTAGAATACGTGTAAACAACCCTTAAAGTTTGTATAATCACTGCGTACTGACATTATCAAAGATTTTTGACATATTTTAACGAAATTAAAATCTAGGTGATTGTAGTAAAAAAGTACAGGAATCACAACTAAAGTCACCAAATGAGTGATACGACTAAATCCAGCGTTCAATAACTGCTGCTCTGGCCCAACGAAGCGAAGCAACGAACAAAAACAACGATAAAGTACTACATGAATGAACCAAGCTTTAAGAGAACTTAGTGTGAGTGAGACAAAATTAGTCATAAATCACTGTCTACGTTAACGGAAGTCTGGAACTGACGTCAACGTCGTCCTCATTGTCACTTTCACCGACTTCCTCAACACGCTCAAAGAAGACACCGGATTTGATTAACTCGCCAGTCGTGTATAGCCAGAGAGCAGTCACATAAGGTGTAAGGGGCTCCTTTTCCAAATAAGACTGAAGGCAGAGTTCCCACATGACGGACAATCCCGCTAGATAGTTCCGCTTTTTGATGAAGCATTCCAGTAGAAGATTCGCTGACACTTCGTCTAAAAAAACACCGGTTTTAGCCTGTCTATTATGTGGCTGGGAAGCAACGTACTCTTTCTTTCAACAACTTCAACACACGAGATTCCTCGTTATGGTGAATATAGTTTCTCACCATCGCATGGCGCGTTGAGTCAAGAATTTTTAAGGAATTTTGTGTCTCGTGAAACCTTAAACAATACCCTTAATAAAAGCATAAAAAAACTTGTATGTGATGTCTTCGAGAAAGTTGAGAAACGTTTTGTCTGTCTGTTGCACCTTGTTTACAAACTGCAAAAATCGGGGGTTAGATTAGTAAAACGCGTACAATATCGTAATCTAAAGGAGTCACGGGGACTCGGTTTGAGAGTCGATGTAAAATATGTGCCCCAATATCACCTGGAATCGTAAATAATGGGGAAAATCCCTCACTTGCTGAAAGATTGCCAAAAGTCCTTGAGGAAAAACGGGAATTCCATTTGTCAGCACAGCTATAAGCCTCATTCAAAATGAAGCGCGCAAAAACTTTAAAAGGAATGGAAGAAGCTATTAATTACCTCTAAGAGGGAGCTTTGGAACATCGAATCGCAAAAGCGGTACCATGGGTGGTGAGCATTCAGGTTAACTAAATAACTTCAGTGTGAACTAAAATAGAACCGAATCAACTAATTATCCACTTCTCTTTGTGTAAACTGGTCACGTAATCCGTGAATATTAGGGCTTTAAAAAATTGGTTGTATAGCATGTCAAATAAGTTGATCTCGATCCTTTTTAATTCGGCAAGTTGACGTACCTGTCAAAGTGCCAACAACTAGACCTCTTCTAGGAATGCGTCTACCAGTTGTTTCACTAAAATCAAATCCCAGACCGTGACTAATATCTCCACACCTTATGAGTTTCATAATCCGACTTTAGGGTTAGAAAACTTGCCAACAAAACAAACAACTCGAATTTAACGTCGAGTATCCTGCGCTGACCTAACCAGACGTCATTCACTTTGTGTAACTGTAACAACTGTGGGAACCCCAATTCTGCCTGAACTCGTAAGAAGCCATAGTAGTATGGTAGAAATTACATTACCAGTCCACAAAGGGGCTGAGGGGCTACCGGCACGACCCGTAAGCCACGCCATCCAACAGAGATAAAATTCGTACCCGCGCTGTCAGACACAAAGCTCACCGAGCTACCAAAAGATCGCAGTTACTATGCCCACCCTACTTTGCGCATCAAGACTGGCTTCTAACTCCACTGCCAGCCCACTCCTCTCCGACTAAACCAAGGATAAACCCACCCTCACCCGAGCTCGTTTCTGAATACCTAAACAGACCTCGTGGAGCATTACACATCCAGAGGCTTCCAGTGTCATTTACCTCCCGGGCACACGCTAGAGGGCTAATGCAGGAAAAGAACCACCCCAAATACAATCGTTATCGAAGAAAAGTGCTGAAGTTGCAAATGTCAAAAATTGATGCAAACCCTGTATTTGACGTGAGAATAATGCTCCAGAGATAAAATAATCGATCAAAGAGACATATGACAAGCAAGACGGAAGCATTCAACGTATTTGCGGAGATTTGAACGATGCGGATCAGTCTGAAATTTATCCTAGGAGAAATTTAAGCAAGCTTTATACAGTTATATTGAGCATATTCCAAAACGGAGTCCTTTAGTTCAAGGATCAATTTCCGAATACCTTTATCAACTCTAGTCCTAGTCCTAGACAATACACTTTGGACAAAGAATAGCTCTTACTTACTACGCGTATATATGGACATAATGTGGAAGATTTGCGCTGAATAAACATACTTTGTATAGGGCCTTGGATAGGGCAGCAGTGAACGCGGACGAAAGGATGGAATTCTGTCCACAGATGTCACGAAGTCTCCCACATGAGTGTTTAATAAATTCAAGCAATCTGTCAATCGGAAAAGACAGAAGATCAGGTTAAACGAGTAATCCTAACAATACTTGTCGGGAGTTTCGCATACATCTACCTTCAACTATGCATTTCAGTGATGTCACCCAAAGAACTTAAATTGGCATCGAGACCTGTTATGAAAATTAAGCAGGTAATCAGTTTCTATTGTGATGGTTCCAATCATCTTGGCAGAAAGTAGAAAGGTGAAATAAGATTATGAAAACCCAAAACTAATCATTTTTGATGCTAAAACCTTCATAATTGAAGAAACTGTAGTTCCTAACTCACACAGCATCTTCTAAGTAGAGTGCACCGACTATCCAGGATACAAATTTGTCCTTCGGCAAATCGTTGTCGTACTCCAAGAGTTCCACTAGAACACTAACGAAGGTAGAGGGATTCAGCTTCCAGCACCAGTCCATGTATGCTATTGCCGTATTTAAAGGAAAATGCTGCACCCTTAACCACAAATGAGAAATATCAATGAAGAAAGGAGTATCCTTTGGGATGGCAAGCTAAAATAGGATTTTCAAAACATTTGCAGTGTACGAAAAAAAGACTACGCATACAGGATGTACTATTAGCGTTACAATTATTATTAACGCCTTCTTTACTTCAAGTACGAATATCACGTATTCAAACTAACAATATAGGTCACGGATGTTACAAAAATAAGCGGACTTCATCTCTCACCTCCCGTGAACAACAGCTCTCAATGTGAAATGGGTCGTGGTCCAGGCTAGCAATTCCCAAATGAGGGAACAGTGCATGATGTTTCAACAAAAATGCGTCAAGTAAACGTTTCTCATCTTCAGGAATTCGTGAAAATTCCTACAATTAGAATGTTACAATATACATACCCTAGAGCAACTCGCGACGAACCGTTTCAATTGTGCTATTTGACTTTGAGAAAATCCGGACTTTCTAAACTGGAGATACTGTAGGCACTTTAGGTAGGCAAAAACAACGTTTAGTTCAGATTCCATTGCAGGAAACCGTCTAAGCAACTGTGTATTGAACGCGTTGTACAAAATAAAACGCCGACCTACATCTGAACCAATGGGTGATTTGTAGACTCGTGAGCTAGTTTATTGATCATATTCTTCTAAAAACAAGGTTTTTAAGGCAACCTATCATTACCCTTTTGCTACTTGTTTTTTTCATTTCAACAAAATCAACGCTGTTTTGTGATCTCATATCCTAATTTTCATGGATAAAATTGCTGATGTTCGCAGCTATATATTCAAACATTTCTCGTGGATGCTCAGGAGGTATTTTTGGTCTTATTGCTGATCACCTCCTAGATGACAACTAAAAGTTACCCAATTTAATGTCAAATACATTCCACCGCCTCCACCAAACCGATTGCGATGTCCGAGCCGCCTCTGAAAAATATAAAGTCATTTTTTATCCAACGGCTTCTTATCCACAATGAATCAAATGCACCCGTGTCGTCCACCTTACTCCCGGCGCAGAAAAAACGACAAACCCACCCCAAAAATTGGCCTAACCACCCAGTGCGACCCACCTCGCGCCACCAGACAGGTCCAACCATCGTCATACCCAAAACTCTCTCCACTGCCACCGCCTCCAGCCCAAAACCCTCTGATCGCTTGCCTACCCAGTCACCAGTCCAGCACCAGGATACCCGATCCATGTCCAGACGGACAGATTAGGACGCGCCCTGGGCCGCCACATGAGTAGACAATGCCGTAAGAGTACACGCTCAATGGAGCGTTAAGCAACAGACATGGATAACTCTCACGAGGCAATAAGAAAAACGCCTTTGACATGATTAGTTAGACAAAGGGATGCTTGAAGTGATGGTCAAACCTAAAATGATAATGAATGCAGTAACGCTTTTGGGTATAGGCGTGGGTATACACACTACTCGGGTGTCTGTGTGCGAAAAATGTGCGCAAGGAAATTGTAATCGGTGTTCCATTCCCCTTTTTACAGGGCTGTTGTTGATGTTGGCTGTTCGGTTAGCCAGCTAGGCAGCGGTCCATCAAACCACTAAAGGGGAGACAAAAGACGTGAGGTTTAATATGCGTCGTGGAAGAGGGAGAAATAGAATATGATGAATTCAACAGTTCCGCCTACGTTGATAAGACTGTGTTCAGGCGAGCAGTTAGCTTGCATATGGTCGTTGATTACCATTTTGGAGAACTGGTCATGCTCAGCAAACCAGTGACGCTCCTCATCGGCTACTCCTCGAATATTCGCAAGATCCTTCAAAAGGGCGGTAGCCCATAGTTGAATGCCTATGTCTGGAAGCTTTTTGGCAACAATGATAGCCTTGGTTATTAGGTCGTGAGCGTCCTGTAGACAAGTAGATAGGAATAAGCCAATCAAATCAGATGGTTAATAAGATTACTGACGTGCGGAAAAAACCTACACGGATGTTTCGTTCATTGAGATTAATCTGGCCAAGGGTTATGTAAGCGGAGGTAGAGAGGCGATTGAGCTCCTCCTCATGACTCAGACGAACGGTTTCACGAAGGTTGGCCTTTGCATCTTGCAGATGACCCTCAATGAAGGCTTGGAACCCTCTCACGTAGTCTGCGGCTGCTCGCAGACAGTAGCATCCCTCCAACACTTGTAGACCCGATGTGAAGACCTCTTTTACGATCATCTAATGAGAGAATAAAGCGGGTCGATATCAGAAAAACCCAACACATTGCTAGACTGTTTTATTTTTTGTATTACAATAGACACCGATCAAATCACTTAAATTGTTTAGGTATTGAGCAGACAAATTTTTAAAAAAATACAAGTTTGGAAAAGTACAAAGTCGTCCACATGAGGATTTCGCCACATCCCCTAAAACAATCAAGCTGGCATAAATAATGTTTATGATGAATGGAAATTCACTAATACAAAGTCTAGCTATCACATTGGTTTGGAAGATATAATGGTGCCTCAATCATCAATAGCTACCATTGATTCAAATGGAATCAGTGCGTATTACTTCTAAACAGTACAAATCAGAATGTATGGCAGTTTATAAATCACTTCACACAGGAATCAATGCGGCCAAATCTATCGACAACTATGCAGTATGGTCGTAGAAAGTCCCTATTCGCATAAGGAGAGTATGATCGTAACAGACTCGTACTCTAGGTTCTAAGGTTTATTCATAGTCATTAACTTAGGGAGAAATCCGTTCCCATTACAACATATGCACATCAGATGTGACAAACGACGCAAAGATTGCGACTTTTTTCGCCTAAAATAACTTAACGTTATTGGATCCCTCGTGAGAAAAATCAAACCCGATATGTTGGGTAAAACAATCACTAACTGATCTTCTGCAAACCAAAAGTGCAAATTCAGAAGACATCAATCCAGATATTTTAGTTGAATACAAAAGCGGATGAACTAGTAATGCACTCAAAATATTCAAAAGGAAGTCGCAGTAGTGATGATAAATTTGACTGGACAGTTCAGGAAAGATACCAAAGTTGAGTTTTATCAGGTGGCCAAAAAGATTCATGAAAGTTTTGGTTGGGATTGAAAAATAAGTTTCATGCTTATCTGCTTAAATAGATTAAACTACCTGGGCTCCAAGGCTGCAAAATACAGTTTCTTTGTAGAATTTGAAGGTGGCTGAAATACTTTGGTCTTGACAATTATCCATTCATACATAAATTAATCACATTCAAGAAGGTCCGCTTTTCATAATCATAAAAGGACACTCATTGCCATTGGCATATTAGTCTCAAATTAAAGTGTGAAGAACAACTTTCACGTATGCTTAATGCGAGGCATGGAACAATTCGTTTACACCGACACCAACTGGAAAGAAAAAGTTGTGGAAACTATCAACTAGGTGAGTGCATCAGGCTATCCACTGCCAGATGTTGAGAAGATGCAAAGATTACCAACTTCTTCTCCGAAAGTTATAAAAACTTGCAGTGAAAAATGGCTTTTGCCCTTTAAGGTAACAACGTTTGTCAAATGAACGAACCTATCATTTCTGGGACTTGCACAGCTTCATCCTCATAAAGCAAGGCAGTAGATGGAATTGTTCTCCATGTTTTTTGTTGAATGACAAATACCAACTACGGCCCGAGACCTACCTAATCCATAGAATAAAAGTCGAAAATGGGCAAGAAAAACCTCACCTTTGGAAGCAGTCTGAATCGACCGCCCTACTTTTACGAGGTAACGCAAGACCTCCTAACGTATACTCATGCTCAACTTACCTTTGATATTTGCAATCTAGAATTGATGTGAGGGGCCATTTCCGAACATTGTCATGGTGTCGAGTATGATAGTAGTGGTTATGACAGTACTGTCGAGGAAAAAACTAGTCAAACTCACCTCACAGGCCTTGATATCCCCCTTGCGAATGTAGACTAGGGCAAGGTTGAGGCAGATGAGTACGGAAAGAGAGTCGCGGGGTCCGCCGGACAGCGTGGAGGCGAAGTCGGTGGCTGCCGCGCTGCCACCCTCGCCTTCACCGCTGACACTACCTGTACCTACTCCGCCAGCTACTACGCTCTCTGTGGACCTTGACTCACCCACCCCGACTGTGGAGGGATGGGTCAGGCTCGTTGAGGTGGATGAAGTCGACGCTGGACCTGTTCCTGGCACGCGCGCACTAAGGCCTGCCTGTGAGGCGGCTATGTACTGATGGAATACAATTAGAGGAGATAGCTTTTGCTTGCATATTTGCTCACATTACATTTTTTAACCAAAATGCCTCCATTTTATCTACACAAACTGAAGCGATCTTTCAAATACCTTGAATGTTATTTTAAAATGCAAAAAACAGAATAATTGTGGCTACTTATAAGGATAAATACTATCTAAAAACAATTACCAATTAGGAGGATATAGCTTGGGGAGAATGTTTTGGATACGGAAAAAGCGAATATTAGTGCAGCCGACTAAAAAATGACAAATATAAATAAACCCTACATTTAGTATGAGAACATACACCAAATAAGCTTCAATATGTGCCTTACTAGTCTGCCTTTAATGTGCAATTTAGAGAAAAGGCTATATATAGTTAAAAGCCTAATACAAATAGCAAATCGAAAGACTAGACAGTCGGTGACAGATTAGATGACAGATGCGAAATTAGAAGGCATGTTGAAGCAAATGCCAATAATTCACTGAATTAGAGAAAAGGACCGAGTTTACCCGAAGCGCAAGCTTGAATTGTTCCTCTGCCTGATTCATGCAGTTCATAGACATTGCATAGAGTCCAATGAGCGTGTGCAGTTGAGGGCGCCGACGATGCATGAGAGCGGGCGTGGCGTAGCACAGCTTACAGGCGAGACCCACGCCCTCCACGGCCTTGGTCTTGTCGCCCATCACCAGCCGGCACATGATGGTGTGCTCGAGGAGACTTAACTTGAAAACAGTTAGGAGAGGGTTGGTGTCGAAGTCAGAGAGATTCTCGATCCGCATGAAGGCCTTGTCAGCTGCATGCTGAGCGCGCTGCAGCGAACCCGACTGCATGTTCAGCATCACAGTGATAAGGTAGATGAGGATGATTATGTACTCCCGTGGCATCCATTGGAAACGATCTACCTCTTGGGTCGATGCAACATTCACTGTGAGGAAAGGAAACCGAGACCCTCAGTTGATTCCTCAAGCTTCATTTAGACCACTGGAGAAATCGGTGCTAGTCTAAATAGCTACTGGACAGCTGTCATAACGATATAGCCCGTAATTCTTGATCAGACACTTGCAATGACTGGTAGAACGTAGAATTCGAGGAATAACAATCCACTTACTTTCCTCCATCGATGCAAAGAGCCTAATGCTTTGTTGCAATTGTCGGAGGATGGGGTGAGCTGACTTAGCACGTCCGGCCAATAGGAAAAGGGAGACGTAGATGATAAGGTAGAACAGCCGCAGTGCTTCGCGCTGATAAACGGTTCCATTCAGATTTTCAATCAATCGGTTGGCCACGGTTAGGGTGTTCGTCACCTCTGGAAGCTGCCTGCTCGCAAGCAGAAGCTGCAAAAGGCAATGTTAGCTCGAAACTAGTCACTCCCGCTAGGAGTGTCTTGAAATCAAATAAATGCCATAAAAATTGTGTTTGATTTGAAGTAAACATATGGAGAGAGTTAATTCATCGGATAAAGTATTTTTTGGGAAAAAGCACCATAGAAGTATCATTTACCATACATTTGCTGAGAAGGAATAATCCACGAGTATATTCTGATTTACGGCTCTGTGCAAACTCTGAACCACTGGCCAATAACTCACAAGCCGAATTGATGTCCTTATCGGCGACACAAGCTTGCTAAAAATGGCCTTAGAGTAGCCGCAGAGAAAAAAGAAAAGTGAAGTCATACTTACAGCTCGTTTTAGCAGCAACCGACAATGCCAATAGGGATTATCGGGAGAGAAACGCATCGTGTCATTCAGAATGCATGTAGCATCATATCGTTTGCCTTTCCTTTCAAAGAAATCAGCTAGTAGATCAGCTGCCTCAAATTTAATCAGATCATCGGGGGCACGCAAATGAGCACCCAGAACTCGAGCCTTCTCCAGATGCTGCTTAATTAAGTCATCGTTTTTGCTGTACATAAATAGTAATTTGCCCAGTTGTAAATGGGTACGAGCTTCATAGTTAACGGGTAATTTGTAACAAAGTGCTGCCTTAAGGCAGTGTATAGCCAGTCGAATGCTTGGCGGACTCGATTTCCGAAAGTATTCAGCCATTCCAAGAAGAGCAACGTAGCACTCTCGAACTTGCTCGGGAGATACTAGTTGTTGCGATTCCTGATTAGAGGACCCGCTAACAATTGCGATACTCGAAGGAGATATTCGGGTCCTCATTAAAAGAGAAGGCTGTGTGGACGAATGTGACAAGGAGGTTGCGGGAGCTGATCGTTGCTGAACTGCACCTGTTGAACTTGCAGTAGGGGCCCAACTGCTTTGTGAAGGCACAGGTGGCCCAGCACTGCTATTGACAGGATACATATCGTTCCCACCAGGATGCATAGGAAACTAAAAAGGTAAAAAAATTAAACGACCAGAAAAAGGGACAAGAGAACAGCAGCAAATAAAATACATATTGAACAAACGGTACAAAAATGGTAAGATGAAAACTTTAAATAAAGACTCGAACAAGGACAAAAAATAAGGCTGAAACAAAAACCAAATACAAACACGAAAACATCGTCGTATAACGCGTGAAAATCAAAGTAAAAAGACTTGATGGAATAAAAGCGCCAGCACCAAAACCACCGGGTCAATAAAACCAATTAAAAAATAACGGACTGGTAAAGATCTTGGTGAGCAAAACGATGAAAAGGGGATGATACAATCAATTAATCCTATTTTATCAAAAAAAGGCATTCAAAAGGAGCATCTTGAGGCAAAAAAAATCAGGAATTATTTGCAATTGTCCCTTGAAGAATGGTTACCCTATACAGCTAATAACAAATTAACACTGGATTTTATAAAAAATTTTGGATAAAAGACAAGAGGATTTATGAAAGGCTTATTTGCACACTAAGGATGCTGCAATAAAATATACCTTGAGAAAGAAGCAAGAATATGACAATTGCAACATCACTTATCAGAAGCACCTGAAATCCGCCGTTATTTGTTTAACTACCCGCTTTAGTGCATTGCCATTTTAGGTACGAGCTACTGTACAGAGGCCTATTGCGTTGTCCCAAGAACCATGCCAGTTGCCCCAATCCCTTCTGTATGTCCAACATTTACATATATTCTGCCCGGGCACTATTTTAGTACTGATGTTGTTTTAATGTTACTTTCAGAGAGGAGACGGGCATACGAGTCGAACCTCGTGACTAAGGCGTTAACGTCGAGTAACCCAGAGGGAGCTCCCACATCCACGCCTCCCCCGCCACCCTAAACTTGCATTTGTTTCCCTATCTACTTATCCAAATAAACAAGTCGAAGTCGAATCAGCCTGGGCATTCTAAGAGTACGAAGGCCAGGGAAGAGGAGATCTGCTAGTCTAGCCCTTCATTGCGCCTTCTGTCATCCTCAAGAAAATCGACAGGCACTAAAGCGGTATAGTAAACCTATAAAAACGTGTAAATATTCAAGGGTTCATATTCAAAAGTAGGCTTATGATGAGAGAACAAGTATTGCAAGGCGAATATTTTCACTGGTAGGAAGTACTCTGCTCCGTGTAACTGCTATCAATTCTCACTATTTTACATTTCTGGGATGTTAAGTGCACTTCGAGTGCACACTAGTGCCAATGTTTGTCAAAGTAATGTTATATTAATGTATGATTACTTCGTTTTATTTTCCATATTGTGCAAATTTGCAACTTTTTTCCATTCGCAAAGCTAATCTTTTTAAGGGCTTTTGGGTGATCATATTAAGGCCTGCAGGCAACAATAAATAATCCAGGATTTATGCTCTAATTTTTTTGTAGATTTGATGGTTTGTATGTTACTGACGCAAAAAATGCGATATTTTATGGTCAGAGTTGTGGGTAAAAAGAAAAATTTTTAGGAAATTCAAAAAAATGTTCCGTTTATATTTAAGCGCGCTATTTTTCTGGCCGCTGTTTAGTGCACCATCGGTTTTTGGCGTCCAGTAGATCATGAAGTCGTTTAGTCGTATTCGCCAACGATGGAGTGAAAAACAGTGCAATATAAGCGAAATTTCGATGCCTACTAGTGTTGAAAAGTTGCTTCATGTGGAATTGGACCCAGTGACCAAAAAGTTCAAAGGACTGCCGGAAGCATGGCAAGATCTTATTTCTCAGTCTAATTTTACGGATGAGGAGCAAATATGTCATCCTGAGGAAATCATCAACGCTTGTCAGACGCATGACAAATTCATAAAACAACAGGAGCACAATGAAAAGTTCCTCGGTGTCAGCGGAAGTAGTTTGGATGATTTGGGTAGCGTTTAAACGTTTTAAGCTAACTTCAGTTAGATGATTCGGATATGAAACTATCGGGTGGTTCAGGAATTGAAAATGGCAAACTTGAACACAACAGTACAGGATCTGATTCTAGTAATTGTCCTGATGCTCCCAGTCCACAGACGCTTCTTGCGAAAGTAATGATGAGCTCTGATCCAAATAAACCCAAGGTGGTTGAGGCCATTGCGTCTTCTAAGCCATCAAAACCTTTGCTGTCATCAAAGCCACCCCTGGCTCCGCCTGCTCTACCGGTGAGAGTTCGTTCCGGTTTCCCTTCTGGATAATTTTTTTCAAATGGTTTCTGCTATACTAAATAGCCTTTCTTGTGGAACTAGTGTCAGTGTAGTTTTTATAATTGCATCCCACTCACTGTTGATTACGGAAGCCAAGTCTTGACTAATGAGTCGGAAATTCCTTTTTTCATTTTTTTGATGGATTGTTTACTGGTTTTTGTCACTGTAATTTAGCCCAAAGATGCACCATTACGACGAAAGGCAAAGAAAATGACTGATGCAGAATTCTATGAGGCTTTATGTAAGTCTTGGATGGATATTAATGCTTTCGATTATAATTCTGACCCTTTCATTTCGCCGTTTGAGCATGTGAAACCTGGATCTAGTTTTCGTCACATTACTTTTAATTTGTCTCCAACATATAATCTTTTCTCGACGCCAAGTTTTAAGAATTCCGTTCCTTGTTCGACATTCCTTTACTTCAGACGGCGCTGGGTAATTGTGAGATAGTGCAAGTTTTAGTTACCTATCTGCAAGTCATTTTGCAGCCTACTTACTGGCCCAACGACATTCCACTAGGGTGAAAATTTTTCCGCAAAGATGGCTTTTATTCCAAATTTAAGTTAGACCCCACTTATCCCTAGCGTATTTGGGAATTTCTCACAGTTAACTACTTTTGTTTTTGCATACGTTTTGTACTAACTTTCGGCACGGATTTGTTCAACTTAGGTGCAGCGCAAGTCATCTGTAATGTTATGCATCGTTCTGCGTTGATGCGAGGCCTAGGTGTTAGGTGTACATATGTTTGTAAGGCCCAGTGCAGCAAGATTTGGTGTTCGCTTTCTCATTAATCTCTAGACGATTTAATCGCGCTTTAAAGTGAATGTGATCCATACACTTGGTCGATAAACTAGGCTGTAAATACACGGAAGCATGTCTCATCGTTGTTAATTACAGAAATGACTCTTCATTAAACTTAAGAAATTGACGGGCTCAAGTTTATTACTTACTTACGTTCTATCGCTGTCTGGGGAACGGCATAAATTTTGATAAATTTTACGGCGATTTCATTCTGTCGTTCCATCTTTAAGTGTTTATAATTATGGTTTTCTTCAACCGATCATGTGGGCTCTTATTAGCAATAAATTTTGGCTACACGTGACACCACGTTTTCCCTTTCCAATACATTAAGTTTTGTTTTCAGGGAGATGTATTTTTGTACTTAACCTCTAGATTTTTCTGTATATGACCTCCAAAATTAGTGAGCGCCATCTCGGCGTTCTCCATGCTCTTCTGAGCATGCATAATCATAACAAGTCTCTCAACGAGCTACAGGTAATGGGTTGTATCCTACGTGATCGTTTGTTTGGTCGACTGTTTGTGTCTCAAGGAGGGCCGTAGCTCTTTATTTGGAAATGCTGTCAGTTGTACGTACCACTGCGGATCGGGGGCTTCGTGTACCTCGCTTGAAGATAAAATGATGTACTGTAATGCTTCTTTTAAAGTTGTCTTGTGCGCGTTGTTGTTGATTAGGTGTATCTCTTTAAAACGAAGCGCACAAAGCCAAAAGGAATGCGATAGAAAGGAGAAGGGAGGGGTTCAAGAGTTTCGAAAGCTGGTGTCTAAATAGGCCTACATTTTGAAATGAATGTCGCTTATCTCTTATAATAAAAACCCTACATTCTTCCATTGACTAATCCGAGCTGATCATGTCCACATTTTCCAGTTATTCTGGTTCCAAAAGTTTAAATTATTATCGTACTCGTAACAACGCCCACGGGTCACGGGTGTGCCATCCCGTGCCAGTTGGTTTCTTCAATATTTTATATGTAGTTCGTCTACTCAGTATTCCCCTCTTCATTCTTCGTTCTACTATCGCCTATATGTAAGGAGGAGAGTATTTTTTTTCCTGGATTTACTATTGACATTTGAAGTGTCCTGTCATCACGTTCAATTGCACTTTACCTGTTTCCTTTTGGTATGGCTACATGAAAGTGGTGAATATGGTGTAAATATGGTAACGAATGCGGTAATTGTGGATTTTACGGCTTTTGCTACCTTTTTCAGCGAAAATAATATCTCCCGGTGATCCGCTTGACAAATACTCCTTAGAGAGTGTTTTGGGCTCAGGGTGAGTAAATTACAAACGAATTTAAATACCTTTACGTCTGTTGTTATGGCTATATTTTTCATTTTAATGCATATATTACCCCAAAAATGGTGGGATGATGTCATTCAGGTGTTCTGAATGCCTCCATACCTCCTTCATTTCCTAAGGGTATGTGTTAAAAAATGAATGGTAATTAATTAAGAGAGTGTAATTTTTTAAATTCTCTTCTGTTTCGACTTCGACACCCTGTAAGTTTTAAACTGGCAAGTTTTCTCTACCAAATTCAGTATATCCGATCTACTCATTTAACTCATCGCTTATAACAGTTTGTGTCCACGGTTCACTATCCTCTTGTCAGTTTTTTGTCTTTGAATTAACATAAGTTCAATGGTTTTTCCTTCCTCAGTCGCTCTGTGCATTCCTTTTATTCCCTGCGTTATATAATGGGATATAGTGAATTAGTTATGCATCCATTCTTTGTTATTGTAGAGCGTCAGGGACAGTTCGGCGTGCTCGTTGCAAAGCCACTAACGAACCGGTAGCCATTAAGATCATGAATTTATCCAAACAGCCCAATCGCGATCTAATTATCTCAGAGATCCAGGTGATGGAGCATACCCGGCACGAAAACATTGTGAATTACATTGAATCCTTCCTCATACGCAACGAGGATGAGTTGTGGGTCGTCATGGAGTACCTCGATGGTGGTCCTCTCACAGATGTGGTCACTGAAACTATCATGGAGGCACCGCTCATTGCCGCGGTTGTTAAGGAGTGCCTCAAGGCCATTAACTTTCTCCATGAGAAGAACATCATTCATAGGTACTTCCAGCCCTTAACTGTTTGTATACCATTCAAAAACGCGTACGGTGTGGAGGTCTTACTATTCATTTTTGACCTATTTTTCTCTGTGCTAGCGATGGATCCGGTCAGTAGATTTGGAATTATCACTTGGGCTGGATATTGTCACTTTTCATAGGAAAATTGGCCTTAAAGTGGGAAATATTTAATCAGATAGGTACGTTGGTGTTCCACCCCAATATCAGCTGCTGCTAGTCACTATTGCCTTTTCTCTCATTTCACTCAATTGTAGTGCAGGAGGCACCCTGATTTCCACTCATTGTTTGCCTATTGTGGGGGATAGGCTTCGGTGTGCTTCACTCACTGTCTTCGTGTCAGCTTGAAAAGCCATTTTTGGCCTTGTGCGCGCGTAAATGAGTGTTTTGTGACCATGTCTATCTATGCACAGTGGTTGAGGGCCAAGAGGCCCTAATTGACTAGTGCATTGAAAATCGGTTCGATTCAAGCAAATAATGTTCTTTTTTTCCTTTTCGGAGTAGACACAAGGGCTTTTTTTGCAAAGCAATAACACGACATTAACTTGGCTTTTGTCTTGTACAGAACGAGCATTAGTTTTATGTCATCGACACTGTTTTGCGACATGATGTTCTGTCATTCAGAAATTTTGTTAGTTGATGAATGCCCCTTAATTCTTCTTGGTTTTGTTTTTTTGGATTACTGCCTTGCAGAAAGGGCGAAACTATATTGTATTTTCTACTATCATTTCTCTGTGAGCGCTTGAAACTCTAATAGATTTATTTAATCGAAGTGCAGGAAGTTTGTTCTCATTTATCTGATTCGTTAAAAAGTATATATGCTGAAAGTGGCAAGATCCCAGATGATACGCTTGAGGGCGAAACACGGATGTTGAGAGGGTCGTAACGTAGGCACCTCCAGCCGTCCACGTAATACGATTTTCAATAAGTGAGGAACACTGAGTTTTTCCTTTGTCTAACTTCCTTCTTTGTCCAAAATAGGGATATCAAATCGGATAATATACTGTTGGACAAATCTGGTCGTGTGAAGCTAACGGATTTTGGTTTCTGTGCCCAGATGGGCAGTCGACAAAGCAAGCGCCAGACAATGGTGGGGACCCCCTACTGGATGGCACCTGAAGTGGTCAACAAATCGGTGAGGTACGGACCCAAAATCGATATTTGGTCGCTGGGAATAATGATAATTGAGATGTTGGACGGTGAACCACCCTACCTCAATGAACCGCCTCTCAAGGTAAGGCCATAGTCAAACCTATAATATTACGCCTTTTCAATGATTACCTTTTTTGTGTCTTGAAGTATGCCAGTATCTGTAAGTCCTTTAGTTTCTTTAATTACGGTGACTAAAGGTGAGAATTTTCTTTTAGCAGATGAAAAATACAAAGTCTATCATCTCTTCATAAATCTCACGTCGTGTCGCAATCTTGTCGTCTCATTAGCAATCCATTTACTCGCCTTTCGTTTTTGGCAGTTGGTCGTTTCGTTTCGTATTATAGACTATGATTGAATGCTCTCCTATACTTTACTTTATTACCACAGTTCCTGATTTTTCATTTGAATGCCCAACCGTTGGCAATCATTTGTTTGTTTTTTACTCTTGCAAAATCTGCATTGCTCTGGCTTAATCTCATGGTCATTTTAGTCTAACAGTGATATCCCTTAGTCATGCACGCAAATTTCAACAGCTGTGGTACGTCTGGAGGCATTAAATGGGGTATAAAGTCTGGAGACAGAGTTTTATTCCGTCAGACGACAAGTATGCGTCTGTTGCATAGTCTACCTGTCCTACACAGTGTGATTTGACGTGGCAACTAAGGCTAAATACTGTTATTCAATGAACCAATTCCGTGTGTTATTCAACTGTCATTTGGACTGGCCTACATTCTTCTGAAGAGGCCAAAAGTGCAGGACATTTCCACCAATGCAGTACGCAAATTCCTCCTACAGAAGTTGTGAGGCTCCGTTGATAGAAGAGTTGGAGAGCAGAGGGCGGAAATATTCCGTGTACAACTAAAAGGACTTCTATCTCCATTGTAGGCCATATACCTGATCCAGACGCACGAGCGCCCTGAGCCAAAGTCGACAGAGGTAAGTCCTCTGTTGCGCGACTTCCTGGACAAGTGTCTCCAAGTCGATCCTGAGAAGAGGGCGACAGCTGCAGAGCTATTAAGCCATCCTTTCCTGTTTGATACTAAACCACTCTCCGGCCTCTGCGCCCTCATAAAAGCAGCCCGGGCAAATCTCAGCAAGCCTGAGTAAAGTCCTTTTTAGCATCCCTTCTCTTCCCCACCCTTCTTACTTTCAGCCGCCTCTTTCTCAGCCACCAACTACAACTATTTTTACAGCCCAAGTGACGATGTGCTTTCTCCCTCTCTCCCTCTTCTATTACACTCATTTCTTTCTAACCAGCAACCAAGTGTGCAGCGAGGTTGCGATCCCACCTTGCTTCGATCTTGTGCGCACCAGGAATCGTTTGCAACGCAGATACGCGCGGTGCGCATCAGTGTTAGCGGCACACTTCATCCTCCAACTCGTGGGCGTGCATGTGTTGACGCGCGCTCGTCTGCCCA